TTCATTATCCTCTTCAAATCTTGTTGTTAAAACCAGTACAAAGAAAAAAATAATTTAAGGATACAACCTTTCACTGCCCTGAGGGGTCTCACAAATACTTCAGTTCTTGCCCAGAAGGTGGTCACAGGGAGAGGATAAATGACCCTCAGGTTAAATATGGACCCAAAAAACTAGTACAATGGAAACCTAACCTAGCGACCCTGCAGGCAGCAGCAATTTACAGGTTAAAGTTCTGGTTTCCGTTTGTGAGGGGTGTTCACTTAATATTATTTACAGAGTATGGCGATTTCTCTGTGTGCCCACAGTGGAATCTCAGAACCTTGTTGAAACTAGGGAAAGCCACTATATTGCAGTGAGAGTAACAGTCCTTGGACTCTGCAACTTAATAATTTTGTGTGTGACCTTAGCCATATCCGAATGTCAATTCCTTTTGTAAAGTGTGGGAAGAACATATGCTGATGGGTTTATAAAGGATCATATAAATATATAGGCTTAAATTAAGTGCTTTGTGGGTGATGATTTTTTGCCCCAAATAGACTACTACCAAGTATACAGTTCATTAATACTTCACGCTGGCTGAGAGTAGTGAATAATAATTTAAGGGGGTAAACTCAAAGAAATTATTATCATTGACAACAGAAGGAAAACCTGACCCCAATTAAGGAATCTGCTGATAGTCTTTTTTTTTTTTAAATTAGGATATTAGCTCAAACTGTGTCTTTATAAAAACCAGAATGTGCCACTAGGAGGATAAAGTTGTCATCCTGAGGGATTTCTAAGCTGATTTCTTAGAGGTATCCTGGGAGGTTATGGAGAAACCAGGGCCCCAATAGGCAGAGTCCATCAGCCTGTGTAAGGCTTTGGGGACCTGAAATACAGAAGGTTCCACAGTCACAAAGCTTGAAAAGCATCTTGGGTTCTTTACGAGCTAAGTCACAGGGGCCTGAGCTATTACCACCTCTCAGATTGTGTTTCCTTGATGCCACTACCCCACTCTCGGGAACCACACAAGCATGAGTCACTCTCTGCTACTTTATTCAGCAGTTGACTCTAGTACTGTTGACTCATAAGAATGTAAGGTTACACGTATGAGAGGAAAGTTCAGGTAAATGGATAAAATATGAAGCCTTTGAATCCAACAGATGACCTACCTTTAGTAGGTGTGTTAAGGTCCCAACAGGAAATAGATGACATGCTCTTAAATAATGTAAGGCTATTTTTAAAAAGTATGGGCAAGGGATAGGTTGGTAACTGGAGGCTAGTAACAGCCTTAGGCCTGAAAGGACAAAGGGAGGTAGTGGTTACTGGGACCTGGAAGGCGAGGTTGCCTTGTGGAGAGAAGTGACCTTTAATCAAAGGAGACAGCTAAGCCCAGGTGAACTCAGGGGAGGGGTGTCTTCTGCCAGAGTTTCCTATTGGCTGAATCCAACAGAAAGCCAAAGTACAGGGAACCCATTGATGAAATTCATGCAGATTAGCCTTCCAGGATAGAGAATAAAATATAGGAGAGAGGAGAGTGATCTGGAAGGAAAGAGAGGATATCCAGCATATCTAGAGATGAAGACCTTGTCCATTCCCCACAAGAGAGGTTATCTTTGATTCTCCTTGCTCAAGTACTGCTGGCCAGCAACTTTATGGAGATGGTTCCTGAATTTAGTTTTAGAACAAAATGTACTTTGAGGAGTTTGCAAGAAAGGTTGCCCAGGTTCTTAACTGCAACTGGAGATGAATTAAGCTGCCCAGCCAAATAAGATAGTACTCTGACGCTGGCTGATGTGGCTCAGCGGATTGAGTGCGGGATTAAAAACCAAAGGGTCACTGGTTTGATTCCCAGTCAGGGCACATGCCTGGGTTGTGGGCCAGGTCCCCAGTAGGGGGCACCGGAGAGGCAACCACACACTGATGTTTCTCTTCCTCTCTTTCCTCCTCCCTTCCCCTCTCTAAAAATAATATTTAAAAAAAAAGATAGTACTCTGATTAAAGGACAAATTACAAAGGGAAGACCATTAATAACTCTGTGTAGAAACTGCAATTCACTTATTTCATTTTATTTTTATTTTTTCATTGATTTGAGAGAGAAACATCAATTTTGTTGTTCCACTTATTATGTATTCCTTGGTTGCTTCTTATATATGTCCTGACCAGGGATGGAACTCGTAACCTTGCTGTACTGAGATGATGTGAGGATGCTCTAACCAACTGAGCTACCTGGGCTGGGCTAAACTGTAGTTTTAGAACAATTTTTTAAAGCCGAGGGATTCTGGGCAAAGTCGCAACCTTTTTTTTTTTTTTTTTTGTATCTGTATACTGAAGATAATACATACTTGCAAGATAGGTATATTTGTATGTATGCCAAGTGCCTAGCTCATTGCCAGACATGTAGCAAAAGCTCAGAGCATGGAAGTTATTTCTGTTGGCCTCTCTCAAACATCAGTTTCCCTTACAATAAAAACTTTCTTAAACGTTAGACTGGTTATGGGAACAGAGTGCAGCCCCACACTTTCCTCAGGGGTTCCCTCTCATCTTAACTCACTCACTCTACCAGACATCTCGCACAAACCTTACAGAGGTGTAGTTATCACTAGGTTGCTGCCACTTCAACTTGTGTTTTTACCTACTGATCTTCTTGGAGCTGAGGGCTCACTTTCACAGAGTGAAAACTCTTAGGAAAGTTGCCCTAGTTTATGTTTTTCTCCATCATTAACATTACCCTTCAGAGAACTCGAGGTTTCTATCGAATTCCCTTTTTAACACTCCTGTATTCCTGGTCATTTCTCTCACTAGGATTTTAATTCAATAAGACTCTTATTGCGTGTGCGTGTACACACTTTCAAAGCCCCTCAAGCCCTGCTCTTTTTCTCAGCAAAAAACTGTATATACATTTATGAGGTACCTGCAAGACCAGATATACTTTATAAATAATATGTACACTGTATTTGTTGTGTATGTGTATTTACCTAAAAGCAATTATCTACACACAGCCTAGTACATGGTAGGTATTCAATTCCCTAAATATTGACTTTGAGAGCTTGCCTGGAAATTCTAATTGTTGAACACAGATGCTTACATATCCTTGACTTTGGTATTACTCTCCTGTATTTAAGAAAGATATCCTTATTGCCAATGGAGCAGCTTTTGAAAACACTACTATACACTAAATAAGGACACCCATTTTACCAGTCAGATGGGTCTATTCAGCCCTGGTATCAATGAGGTTTGTGCCACAACTAGACTGCTACTTGTACTTACTTAATAAATGTGTGCTGAATTGGACTGAGATGACAAAAAGCACCTTATTAACTAAGAATGGCTAGCTGAGAAGCCAACAGAGCAAATCCACTATTTTCAAGCCTCCCTAAGTTTGATGTTTCCCCTGCTGTATTTTAGCATTTGACTGGACACCCACAAAAGGCACATAATCATTTCCTCCAGCTAGCCACTCTTCTCTCTTCGTTGTTTGCTTTTAGGGAAGGGGGTGAGGAAGGAGAGAAAGGAGGAAGATGTAAGTTTAACAAGCCAGTCAAAGGCTCTTTCCATTCTCACTTAATTTCTTACCTCAACTTGCCCTGTCAAGAATTCCCGCTGAGGGGTAGCAGCGGAGGGTGTGAGTGGGTTCTAAGACCCTGAACAGGGAAAAGAACCTTCCCCAATGCCTTCCAACCACATCGCCCTCATTAGGTCAGTTGGATAACAAAAACTTACACAGTCCGGTACCACATAATAATGTTTCACTCAACGGACTGCATACCAACTCCCACATTAGAAAGGAGCCAAAAAATTCTATTGCCTGGCGACATTGTAGCCGTAACATGATAGCATAATACATTGCACAAACTATTTGTGGTGATGCTGGTGTAAACCAACTGCACTGCCAATCGTGTAAAAGTATAGCACATTCAATTATGCACTGTACATAATACTTGGTAATGATAAACAACTGCTACTGGTTTATGTATTTATTCTACTACACTTTTTTTATTTCAGAGTAAAAAAATTTGCTGTAAGACAGTGTTATGCCAGCAGCAGCTTCATACATCTCGTGTTTACCATTTCTCTTGATTTCATCATTTTCTCTTATGCTTGATTTAACCTGTTTTTTTCTTTTTATAAATTGAGTGTAGCTTAGTTTGTAGTTTGATACCTGGGTTGCGGGCCAGGTCCCCTGTAGGAGGTGGGTGAGAGGCAACCACACATTGATGTTTCTCTCCCTTTCCCTAAAAATAAATAAAATCTTAAAAAAAGTAAATACATTAAAAATTATTATAGCTTAAATATACAGTGTTTATGAAGTCTACAGTAGTGCACAGCAATGTGCTAGGCCTTTACATTCAGTTACCACTCACTGACTCACACTGAACAGTTTCTAGTCCTGCAGGCTCTACTCATAGTAAAGGGTACCAGTAAGGTACACCAATACAGGTATACCATTCTGAATCTTCTTTATTTTATTTTTTTATTTTTAGAGGGAGGGTAAAGGAGGGAGAAAAAGAGGGTGAGAAATGTTTATCAGTTGCCTCTCATACACGGCCCAACCAGGGCCCGAACCTGCAACCCAGGTATGTACCCTAATCAGGAATCAAATTAATAACCTTTTGCTTTGTGGGTCGACGTCCAACCAATTGAGCCACATTGGTCAGGGTCCATTCTTCACCTTTAATACTGTAATTTTACTGTACCTTCCATATGTTTAGACACGCAAACGGCATTGTGTTACAGTTGCCTACAGTATTCAGTACAGTACCATGCTGTGTAAGTTTGCAGCCTAGGAATCAATAGTCTACACCATGAAACCTAGATGTGTAAGTGGACTGTGCCATCTAGGTGTGTGAAGTGCGGTCTGTGATGTTCACAACAGAATTGCCTAGGAATGTATTTCTCAGATCATATCCCCATCATTAAGTGGCACATGACTGCATTGAGGTCTGTCTGTGATTGAGGAGTAGGTACAATTTTTGTCCAGGAGATGTAAAAAATTTCAGTGACACCCGGAAATGGTAAGACTTTGATATTTTATTAAGAAACACTTTTATTTTAAATGATAGTACAAAAATTGTATATATAATATAGATCTGTATAGATGTATATACACACACAAATGCTCAATCACACACACACAAACTTGCTCATCGAAATCAAACCCTATTTTATTAAAACCCTAAATAAAAGTATATTTCAGTTTTCCTAAAACATACTGTACATAAAGCTGTCAGACAACCTGAAAAACAGAGGCACCCCACCCACACTCTTTCTCTCCTCCCCCCTAATCACCTACCTCCCCACCTCCTGCCCCAACATGAATGGCCTTGGCAGAGGACAGGAGACAGGGCCAAGCCAGAGAATGAAGCTGCCATCATTACTGATGGAGCAAGATGCCTGAAACCAACTGCCTGAAACCATCTAGGAGACTGTGACCTAAATTCTCAGAAGCAACAGAAATAAACAGAAACTTCAGAATAAACTTCAGAAAATATGTATTTGGAATAGAGGGAAGTGGAAAGAGGACAGACAAGGTCCACGGACCATAAATGACCTGGTAATTAAGTTCTAGTTCCTGGGAAAGACTATGAGATAAGAACAATGGGGTCACAGAAGCAGAAGTAGTTAGAGGGGGAAGGGGAGAAAACAGAGAGATAGGGAATCACAATTTCCTGCCATTAACAAGCGAACTTGCTGCTGTAGAGTCTAGAAATGTCACCCTACCCTCTAATCCTAGAGAGGCTCAAAAAATAAAATAAAAGGCAGCACCAGAGGTCTAAAGCTATGTAATTCGAATGTATATCCTTCTTGCTCAATATATTAGCACGGGAAATAAGAGTGCGAACTTAGAAGGGGAAAATATTCATCACATAAAAAGGAGACAGATTAAGAGTCTAGAGTAGCATATACATGGTATTGACATGTATTCCATTCATTTTAAAAATTTATTTTTATAAAGGGGAAGAGAGGAAGAGAAACATCAATGTGTAGCTACCCTTTGTGCATCCTCTCCTGGGGACCTGGCCCACAACCCAGGCATGTGCCCTAGACTGGGAATCAAACCAATGACCCTTTGGTTCACAGGCTGGCGCTCAATCCACTGAGCCACACCAGCCAGGGCTGTATTCCATTCTTAATCTCCTTTTCTGCCCATAAAGAGATGTCTGCACAAGAAGTACAGAATAGGAGGCCATTCTCCAATAAATAGGGACAAAAACTGATTCCCACTCAATATTAAACTTCTAGGAAGAGTTCACGATGTGCCTCAGATCTTCCAGCTCTGTTGGTCCACAATGTTGTTAGGAGAGGGCAACACAAATTTTCTTAAAATAATCCCTATCAAAAGGATGAAATTCTAAACTGGGAAAGTAGATGTAGAAAATGTCTGCTCCTTCTGCCATGGCACTTTATCCAGGGTTTCTTTCTTCAGAGGTCTGCGATTGTGCAAGTGCCAGTCAAAATAGCTGCCACGGGAGTGGAAAGGAGGCTTGCTCCGTAGAAGGGCAGCTCCATCTCTACCCTGACACTGCTCTGAATCCTTCGGTTTACATGGTGTCATCACACTAAATGCTAAACAAATCTCTGTAAAGCTGGGTACTGGTTCTCCCTGGGATCTCACTCCTCAGGTTTCTCATCACTGCCTGTGAAAGCACGCCTCTCAGAGAAGGGCCAAAGCAATGCCTTTTTCCCCTCAGCCCCTTTAGTGAATCCAAAGAAACTCTCTTTCATGTATTTCATGAAATTTAAAAAAAAAATTCCAGGTTATACCAGGTACTTCAGAATTGAACCTTAAATAAGAAAAAAGTGAGAAAGTCCATGTATCTTTATAAACATATACACAAATATACACCCTGTGAAGGGGCACTAAAAATGCCCTGGTCACATAATATCTAACTTCAATTGGAGAGCCCTTTGGTAAAATTCATTGCTTTTACATTGGCATGAGGAAAATCATCAGCATGCCATATATTCCCAACATTACTGGGCAGACACACAGATTTTAAATATGTAAGGGTAAGGCTGAGGAAGGGGGAAAGGCAAAGCCAAAAATAGCTGAACACAGTTCTGACAGAGAAAAAGAACCTCTTTTAAGGCACCAAGTTCAAAACACAGAAAACCTAAAGCCCAGTTCTCCCATATTTCAGTTAAAAGACCTCAACTCTGGCATTACAATGAAGAGATCCCACAGAGGTAGTGGTAGGAAGAGAATGTACATTTACACATATATAAGGAATTTCCCTAAAGCCAAGGAACAAGAACAGAAATGTTAAGATTTATTTTTTCTCTTCTTGGTGGGGCAGGGGGTAGGCTAAAGATCAAAATACAAAGGTACAGTGTAAATTTCCTATATTAATACTGATATTATTAAAGCAGCTTTATTTTAAAGTAGGCAACCATCCTAGGCTCCAGGTGTCTTCTGCTCAAGTACCAACTCTGAACCACTTATCTGTTATTTGATTCTCTGTAATCCAACCTTGCCATAAATAAGCCAACTGGAATCCCCTAACCTAGAAGATCTAGCAACATTTCCCAACTTCCATGGATGATCCTGAGATAAATGCAAAATCATAAAATGGTATTGACTTTAATGCATTTAATGTTCAACTTCTAATTATTTCAAGGGATCCTGACTTACCATTCTCTCCAAGGCAATACAACTGGAGGCCAAATCTTACTCCCTTCTCTGGGATGCTAAACGGTCTATTCCAAGTAAATAAAAACAAGTAACTTTTTGCTACCCTTTCCAGACACTTCCCTTCTCTCTCTCCCCCTATCCCAACCTCTCCTCTAACTCCCAGTCTCAGAGACCCCATCCTCAGAAATGCCTTGGGCTGGATTAGAGATTTTGTGTGTGTGTGTGTGTGGGAAGGACAGCCTCCTATAGAAGGATAAGTAAGAACTGATAAATAGTTCCCCAAAACAGCAGGGACTCTGTATGCTCAAAAGGGAGTGCTGGATGAAAACTCCCCACTCCCAATCAGAAGCTACCTTAGAGTGAGATGGTTAGGCCTGGATATCTTCTGCAGCATTAAACTCAACCCCCTTAACAGGAAAGAAAAAAAAAAAGGAATTAAAGTTAACACACACACCAAGAACATAAACAAAATACATCTAAAATGACACTTGGTCCAACTATGGTAAAGCTAAGGCTCTGAAATGGCACACAATAGCAGCTTATCATTAGCACCTGGTTCATAAAAGGACTCAAAACAAAACGAAATGAAACATCACAAGCAGAAACAGGATAATGTGACAGCAGATACCTTAATTTTACCCTCTTATTCTCACCCTTACCTAGGCTCCTCCACTGCATTTCTCCATCATCCCCAACAGCCCAAAGTAATCTCTGGCCACCTGAGAAGCACTCAGCACACAAGCCCATGGGGAAAACAAAGCTTAGGTGGCCAGTCATCAAAATTAATTTTAAAACTGACATTTTTGCCTAGAAGACTCTAATAGCCAATTCTGCTTGTTAAACTTGGTTTGGAGAGTTATGTTTTCAGTTTATTTTTGAGCCCCAAATGATTTTTCACCTCTGGAAAGCTGTGGCAAGTTACTTCACTGATCAAGATACATAGAACCATGTTAACTGTCAAGTTTTACTCCAAATTAAAAATGAATGTTTTCCCCATGATCGCTAATTTAGAAAACCATCTTCTAAACAGTCATTCAACATTTACTTGGCACATCTCCCTCTAGTTTCTTCTTGTCATTTACAACAAAGCAAGCAAGCAAGTCAAGAATGATGGGGGCCCAATTTCAAAGGCATAACATCTGTAATGTAACCTCTCCACTACCACTCTCTCTTCATTTACACTTCCCTTTCTTGACTCCAAGCCGGCACACAAAGAAACCCCCAGCAATGAAACACTTTCCAGAAGTGTCTAGGCAAAGGGAGCAGGCATAGTGAGAGAGAAGGGAGTGAAGCACATTAAGTATCTGGCCAGAATCTTTGGTTCCTTACTCTATGACACTGACAATTCTTATTCCCTTTGCCAGCACACACTAACACCTATTGCAGAAGGCACACACACCTATAAGGCACAAAAGCTCTGCATAAGGTCCTACCTTAAGGAACAGAGCAATTTACTCATTCCCGAATCAAAAGGCAACAAAACTACCCGACATCCCCAGCATTCATCTCTCCCACCCCTTTCTTTTATTGCATATAAGAGATACCATGTAAGTTCTACAGAAAGGCACACTCAGAAAACTTAGCAATACTGTATAAAATTAAAGAATTGCTATTAAAGCTTGATATTACATGAATAAATGTTTGGAAGTGAGTTGTTCTAACAACAGACTATCATCCTGATTGTAATTTCATAAAATGCAGTCAGAGCAAAGTTTCTATCTCAACACCAGATTGTTTCATAACCCCAAAAGCCTCTGTCTGGCCACTTTCCAGCGCTGTGAAAGCACAGCCTGGAGGATTCTGGATTTATATACACTTCACATAAACAAGTTTTTGTTCCTTTCCAGTTTTTAAATATTATATTTTGGTTTCTTAAAACTGGCAGCTGAGCTATGACACACCATGGATGTGAGTTTAGGCAGATACTCATGAACTCCTTTCCCATGAAATGAACTCAGGATAGTGAGGAGCGCCTATTCCTTTGGAAGTGGAATATATTCCTTCTTCTTTCCCAAAGCTTGCTCCGAACCTCCCTCCCAATTACTTTTCTTCTGTAACAGATACACATCACACATCTAAGGCAAATTTTCAGGTCACTTGATGGTACAACTATTGAGGGATCTGGGCGTGTCCATAGTAGGAATGTTATCTTAAAATAATCTTTTGATATCTTAAAAAATCTTTTGATAAAAGTAAAATCTTTTGATAAAAAGTGAGTTATTTAAAAAACAATCAATATACAACATGCAGCATTCTTTTACCTCTATGTTTAAAGCAATGATGTAAGCTGAGAAATTTGGTCCTTATTATTCTGGCCCCTCAGAAGAAGTGTTCCCTAATTTGGTTCTGTTATCTCCAGTTGCACAGAAAGCCTTCCTGAGCCCGAGCATTGTACCCTGCTATAGTTTTCTTCTTAAGGACATTCTTAATTTTTATACAAGGTTTGTCCTCTGTATTTTCTTTTAAAAAGGAGAAAAAGATGGATACAGTACAAATTGTGGCCCTTGTACATTAAGATGAAACAGCTTCCATGGAAACTCCAGTATGAGGCTCTGTGGTCCCTCCTGCCCCAGGCACTTCCATCTCTCTCTCTTCCATCTCCCCCTCTGTGACTACTACAGCGTCTACCTCAGCCACCTCTTCAACCATGGTGAACTCAACTCCATTGGGCTGTTGTCGGGCCATGGCCTCCAGTTTGAGGCGGTACTGTTCTGCCTCCTGCTCTTTCTTTAGGAGCTGGTGTCGGTATTCCTGGGCTCTTCGGTTGGCCTCCTGAAGCTGCTGCTGTAGTAGCTCTTTTTCAGTGCCTTCCTGTGAAAGTAAACCACGTCACCACCAGGTAAGAATTCCTGATCACAGTTATCCAGAGAATGCACAAAAAGATAAAGAAGGTTCAGGCCTTGAAAGTTTGGGGTTTTAATTCTTCCCCCTCTTCTCTCCACACTGCTAAAAACATTACCTGACTTTCCTCCACACTGTTTGTCATTTCTTCTACCCTTGGTTTCTTAGTCAATGGTGACTTCTCTGCTTCTTCTTCCTCTTCTTCAATTATAGTCTCTTCTGCAACCTGACCAGCAGGTACAGTTAGAACTACAAGCCAAAGGACACCAATTGGAGGTGATGAATACATTGTAAAACAAGGAAGTTTTGCTTGCTTCACATTAGAAAATAAACTGAAATATATCCTCTGATATTTTATTTTTCATATGCCTTTGGATTTTAGAATCAGCAGGTAAGGCATGGCCCTGCAGAAGGAAACAGAAAGGATTAGAGAGGCACTAAGAAGGCCTCTGAGAGGAAGGGTAAAGACTGACAGGTTCGGAAGCCATGCAGTTAAGCCCAGGTCTGAGGCTCTTATATAAAAATGTCAGAAGCTATGACCAATTAGCTTACAATTCTGCAGGAATAACTTGTCTAAAGAAGGCCTGATGTCTTCAGATAAGATTTTTTAAAAGACTTTGTTTATTTATTTTTAGAGAGAGGGAAAGGGAGCGAGAAAGAGAAGGAGAGAAACATCAATATGCGAGAGAAACACTGATTGACTGGTTGCTTCTTGCACACCCCTTATGGGGGACCTGGCCCGAAACCCAGGCATATGCCCCCACTGGGAATCAAATCTGTGAACACACCCAACCCACTGAGCGACACCAGTCAGGGCTTCACATAAGATTTTTGAGAAAACTCTCATGAAAGCAGTGTGCCATTAACTGTATCTAATTTAATTATTTCTCATCTCATAGGTAAGTTAAAAGAGGGTCAACACACGTGCTCACAACACACACGTGGTGCACAGTTATCACAATATCAGTGACTGTACTCCCTATGCTTCACTTATGTCCCCATGACTAATCTGTGACTACCAATTTGTGCTTCCCGGTCCCATCACCTCTTTCACCCACTTCCCCACTCCCCTCCCCTCTGGCAACCACCAGTTTGCTCTCTGGGCCTATGAGTCTGTTTTAGTCTTGTTTGTTCGTTTATTTTATTCCTTAGATTCCACATATAAATGCAATCTTATGGTACTTGTCTTTCTGTGACAGACTTATTTCACCGAGCATAATAACCTCTAGGTCCATCCATGCTGTCTCAAATGTTAAAATTTTATTCTTTTTTATGGTTGAGTAATAGTCTATTGTACATAATGTAAACCTAAGAAATACATCTATTAAGAAGGACTCCTGGTGGCTAACTGGGCTCAAATTACAAAAATAAATAGATAGATAGATAGATAGATAGATAGATAAAAATCACAGAACCTAGCAGCCATTCTACATAAGAGCCTCTCCTCTCACACAAACTGCACTTCAGGGATAAGCCTGCACTGAACTTGAACTACCTGTCTGTACTCTTTCTGCCATCTGAGCCAGTGCTTATAAAAGAATTCTTGAAATCCTATTTCAACCAGTAGGACTGCTGCTTTCCCCATCCAATCAGAGCTGCATTGTTCTGACCAATCAGAGCAACTCTATTCTGACCTATCAAAAGAGTGCCTTTTTAAAAATGTATTACTTGCACCACTACTTTTTCACCCACTAATCTACTGATGGACACTCGGGTTGCTTCCATATCTTAGCTATTGTTAACAACGCTGAAATGAATATAGGGGTGTACATGTCTTTTCAAATTAGTGTTTTGGGTTCCCTTGGATATGTACCCAGAAGTGGAATTGCTGAGTCATAAGGTAGTTCAGTTTTTACTTTTTTGAGGACCTTCTATACTATTTACCATAGTGCCTGCACCAATTTGCAATCCCCAAAACTAGATGAGGGTACCCTTTTCTCCATATCCTTGACAATACTTCTTGTTTGTTGATGTATTGATGACGGCCATTCTCACAGGTGTAAAATGATACCTCCTTGTGGTTTTAATGGTTTTAATTTCCACTTCTCTGATGATTAGTGACATTGAGCATCTTTTCATATGTCTATTGGCCATTTGTGTACCCTCCTATTCAAGTCCTCTGCCCCTTTTTTAATTGGATTGTTTGGTTTTTGGTGTTGAGTAGTATGAATGCTTTACAAATTTTGGATATTAACCCTTTATCAGATGTATCATTAGCAAGTATGTTTTCCCATTTAGTAGGTTGTTTCTTTGTTTTGTGGATGGTTTCCTTTACCATGCAAAAACATTTTCATTTAATGTAGTCACATTTGTTTATTTTTTCTTTTGCTTCCCTTGAGAATGGCTAAAATTTAAGTTAGTGACAATATCAAATGTTGGTGAGGATGTGTATAAACTGGATTATTCATAAGCTCCTAGTAGGAATGTAAAATGGTACAGTCACTTTAGAAAACAGTTTGGAAATTTCTTGCAAAACTAAACATAAACCTACCACAGGACTCAGCAATTGCAATTTTGGGCATTTATTCCAGAGAACTGGAAGTGTATGTTCCTACAAACCTGTATCTGATTGATTATAATAGCTTTATTCACAGATAGCCCAGAACTGGAAACAATTGTCCTTCAGTGGATGAGTAATTACGCTAACTGTTGTACATCTATATCATGGAATAATATTTAGCAGTAAAACGGAACGAACTATTGAGACAAACAACTTGAATGGATATTAAGGAAATTGTGCTTACAGAAAAAAGTCAATCTCAAAAGATTACATACTATATGATTCCGTTTATGTAACATTCTTGAAATGATAATAAAAGTACAGAGATACAGAATAGATGAGTTAGTGCCTGCCAGGAATTAGGAATGGGGTGGAAAGGGAGGTAGCTGTAGATACAAAAGAGTATTATGAGGGATCCTGGGGATGAACTGTTCTGGTATCTTGACTCTGGTGCTCACACAAAAATACAAATGTATTCACTGGTATAGTACGAAGTAAATACACAAACACACAAGAGGATGCATATAAAACTGGAAAAATCTCAATAAGGTTGGTGGATTTTATCAATGTCAATTTCCCGTCTGTGATAGTATACTGTAGTTATGCAAAGTGTCACCATTGGGGGTGCCCCCCCCACCCCTGCCAGGTAGCTCAGTTGGTTAGAGCAGGGGTCCTCAACCTGCGGACTGCAGACTGGTACCAGTCCACCTGTTAGGAACTGGGCCACATGGCAGGAGGTGAATTTCAATGTAATGTGCTTGGATCATCCTGAAATCATCCCCCCACTCACACCAGTCCATGAAAAATTGTTTCCCATGAAACAGGACCCTGGTGCCAAAAGGTTGGGGACCACTGGGTTAAAGCATCATCCAGATTCGCCAAGATTGCCCACATACAAGAAGCAACCAATGAATGCATAAGTGGAACAACAAACCGATGTTTTTTTCCTCTTTCCTTTCCTTTCTTGCTCTAAAAATCAATCAATAATATTTTTTAAAAGATTTTATTTATATATTTTTAGAGAGAGTGGAAAAGAGGGAGAAAGAGGGAGAGAAACATGTGAGAGAGAAACATCAATTCCTCTTGTAGGTCCCCAACTAGGGACCTGGCCTGCAAACCAGGCATGTGCCCTGACCTGGAAATGAAGAAGCAACCTTTTGGTCCACAGGCTGGTGCTCAGTCCACTGAGCCACACCAGCCAGGACAATAAATAATTAAAAAAAAAAAATTACCATTGGGGGAAACTAGGTGATGTATATGGGATCTCTGGGTAGTATTTCTTCCAATTGTACATGAATCTATAATTATCTCAAAACAAAAAGTTAACATTTTTATTTAGTAAGTTTTAGGATGAATTGCAATTTTTTGTTTAAAACAGAAGATTTACCTAATTATTTGGTTTGGTTGAGTCGTTAATTGATGACAGTGTAAAGCTGCTTAGATAACACTAAGTAGAAACATAAATTTGGTCTGGGATTTAAAACTTCCTGAAGGTAATTCACAAAATCTCAGCTTTCCTTCTTTGGGCCTAGTTAAACACATTTTTAAAAAGTAGTGTAGCCCTGGTAGGGTGGTTCAGTTGGTGGAGCACTGTCCCATGTACCAAAATTTTGAAGGTTTGATCCCTGGTCAGGGCACATACCTAGGCTGTGGGTTTGATCCCTGTTTGGGGTGCATACAGGAGGCAACTGACTAATGTTTCTCTCTCACACATCAATGTTTCTCTCTCTCTCTCTCAAATCAATAAACAGATCCTTGGGTGACAATTTAAATAAAGGGTTAATTCTTACTCTTTCTTCCCATACAACAAAGATCCATCAATTTAAATAATTTGAAAATTGTAAAATGCCCAGAATTACTTAGGCCAAGTCAAAATTTTGGTAACACTAAGGCAATTATACCAAACCCCTTCTTTCCAAAGTCCAATATTTTTAAAGAATAAAGTTGTAATGATTAGTTTCTTTCTCTGTTCAAAAAAAATTTACGTAGGCATTTTTTGAATATGCAATACATTCACATGGTTCAAAAATCAAAAGCTATAAAAACATACATAGTGAAAAGCCTCCCATCCCCAACTAGATACTGAGGTGTTCTCCCAGAAAGCAGCCAATGTTATTAGTGTTATTATTGAATGTTCTTCCAGAGATAGACTATGAATATATTAGCAAATATACAAATATTTCCCCTTTAAAAAAATAGTAATGTGGCATACTCTACACATTGTCCTGTATCTTGCTCTTGTCACTTAACAATATATTTTGGAGATCAGACCATATTGGTATATTAAGAAATTCCTCATTGTTTTTAATAGCTGCAGAGTATTTACATCATAATTTATTTATCCAGTTCCCTATTAACATATACTTCGGTTCTTTTCAATCACTGACAATTACAAATAACACTAGAATAAATAGCATCACATATGTCATTTCTGTGTGTGTGAATATATAAATTCATAGAAAAAGAACTTTTTAACCAAAAGGTATGTGCATCAAAAGGTATGTGCATCATTAACAGTGATAGATATTGCCAATGTGGTCTTTACAGGATATTTCAATTTACACTCTCACTGATAATTTATTAGAGTGCCTGTTTCTCCACATCCTTCACAACATAATGTGATGGTATCTCAGAGCAGTATTTATTCGTGTTTCTCATGCTATGAATGAAGGAGGCTGAACATTTTCACATTTTTAAGAACCACCAACCCTGGCTGGTGTAGCTCAGTGGATTGAGCATGGGCTGCAAACTAAAAGGTCACTGGTTCGATTCCCAATCAGGGCACATGCCTGGGTTGCAGGCTGGGTCCCCGGTACATGAGAGACAACCACACATTGATGTTTCTCTCCCTTCCCCTTTCTCTAAAAAGAAATAAACAAAATCTTTAAAAAAACAACAATAAACCACCAACATTTTCTTTCTGTGATCTACTAGTTAATAGCTTGTTCTTTCTACCAGATTTTGGTTTTTACACACAAACTTTATATGTATTAGAGGAATTTGCCTTTGCCAGCCTCATTCCTGTTTCTTTTTCAGAGATTCTTTGACCTATTTGGCATGTGGCATTCTCCCATTTCTACTACTTGCCTTAATGCCTCAATTTTAGAGGACAATTGGATGTCTAAAATATCTTTTCATAAACAATTGTCTAATGGGATAACTCACCTTGCTGTCCGTCTTGCATAGTTACAATAAATGGCTGGCCAATGCCTCCAGTAGGGATTGCAGTTTGTATATTACCCAGAGGGACTCCATCAGTCACTATGGTGATCACCCGCTGGCCTCCACTCCCCACCACTTGCTGGATTGATGAGTCAACAGAATTTCCTTCTATGATTTCCTCCGAATTCGCTAGAGATGACAAAAGTAAATATAAAATTTTAACTTTAAAAAAATAGAAGTATAGCAATTTCAGCCCTTTGAATTTAATAATATTAGGAATAGGAAAACTGGGAAAAAATGTTAGATTTAACAGTACACAAAAGGAAGCTCTGACAATGCTAAGTCAGAAGAGAAAAGAGGCAGAATGTATTAAATGTATTTTCTAAAATGTCTTCATGGAGATGTTAATAGCTTCCACTAAAGATGGGTTCTATGTACAAATACATTCTCAAATTTCTGGTTTAAATATGCTTAGATTTTTTTGTTTGTTTGTTTTGTAGGAAGTACAGAGGCCCTAACAGGCTAAATGGGCACTGTGATTTTCCAGTACAGATAAGATATGCTGAGTTTCCCCAACATATTTGTTCTTAAAACATTTTTTTTCAGGAAGCATCTTGAAAGACTAAATAAACCTATGAAGCTTAGAAAAATAACTATAAATTAGGGTAGATCTATTTCTATAAAGAAATAGAGGAATTTAATGGTGAGTTAACAACATGTCAAGTAGTCAAAGCATTGAAGAAGTTTGTTTGATAGGCATATTAATAATAATAGCAACTAACACTGACTAGTTACTATATGCCAGCTACCTTTCTAAGAGATTTACATGTGTTATGCTGAATCAGGGTTTTCAGTCTGATTAGTCAATGTCCTCAATAACTATTAGGGAAACTCCTCTAAAGAGTCACAAGTAGAATTTTGCAATAAGTGGAGTATGGACTTTCCATATGAGACACATTCATATAATTCAATGGAAATAGAATGAAACAAAGAACAGTAAAAGGTTAATACTTGAAAGAACCCTGATAGATAATACAATCATCATGCTAGAAATGAGGGAATCGAGAGCTAAAAATGTTAAGGCCTACCGCCAAGATTGCCCTATCCAGCAAAGCTACCATTTATGATGGGAGGGGCAGATAAAGACCTTCTCAGACAAGAAAAAACTAAAGGAGTTCATTATCACCAAACCATTATTACATAAAATGTTAAAGGGACTTAAGAAAAAAAAGATCAAGACTATGAACATTAAAATGGCAAAAAATACATATTAAAAACTGAATCTAAAAAACAAACTAAGCAAACAAGAACAGAGACAGAATCATGGATAAAGAAAGCATTTTTGAGGCCTGGCTGGCGTAGCTCAGTGGACTGAGCGTGGGTTGCAAACCTAAGCATCGCAGGTTCGGTTCCCAGTCAGGGCACATGCCTGGGTTACAGGCCACTGCCCCCAGCAACCACACATTGATGTTTCTCTCTCTCTTTCTCCCTCCCTTCCCTCTCTAAAAATAAATAAATAAAATCTTAAAAAAGAAAGAAAGAAAGCATTTTGATGCCAGATGGGAGGTGGATATAAGGGAATGGGTGAAGATATGAAGAGATTAAGAAGTACAAATAGGTAGTTACAGAATAGCCATGGGGATGTAAAGTGAAGTACAGGAAATGGAGGAGTCAAACAACTTATACACATGACCCATGGACATGAACAATGATGGGGAGATTGCCTCAGGAAGTGAGGGGTGCTGGGTGGGGGGGGGGCAAGGGAGAAAAATCAGGACGACTGTAAAGCATAATCAATAAAATATAATAAAAAAATAAAAATAATCTAGTCATTCTTAAAAAATTTTAAAGGATTTATTTAATATCAAAGAGCAAATCAAAAGAATAACAAACACAAGTTTAATATATTCCTTTTCCTTCGGCCATGCTGCTTACCCATACACATCTGAGTAGAGATCCTTAACAATTGCTGCCAGTCGAAAAAATGAGATTGGAGGAATGTTCTCGCTATCCAAATGTTAATGACAGAAAGAAATCAGAACAATCTGCTTTCATTTTGGATGGAGCACTCTGCAGAGAGTTCCAGAAAGATTCTGAGATGACTAGTTAGCCCTACTTAAAACTATATGCCCCTAGCTATATAAGGCCTCAGCCTTTTCCCAACAGACCATGATCTCTAAGTGACTTGAAACCTTTTGTTTTAAATATCAGTAGGGCACTATATAGCAATTATCTGCCCAATTCCATTGGAAATGCCAAAACAACATCTCCAGTGGGGGGGGGGGGCAAGCCAACCTGAGATACAGAGGATATGACAGTGAGAGAGGTAACAGTCTCATGTATTTTGATGCTTTAATACAAGATAGCTAGGCTGCTATTTTGAATCATTCTATGATAGTATCAGTCAAAACATAATGTAGAGTATTTCCAAAAAATCGTCTAACATAACACTAAATATTTCAATCTGAAGCAACTGGAGTCAGGGCAAACAAACTTGAAACTGCCGAAGAACAAAGGAATACCAGTCATTCTCTGATAATATTCAGCTGTCTGATTATATCACTCAGTGATTTTTCTTTCTGATGTGCAATGACTCTACATCCTTTTTCCTAGCTCTAATCATAATTCTTTAATATTTCATGCAAATTAAATCTGCTGGAGATTTAAAAACAAAAGAAGAAATGGTGATTCAACCAGCAGATATCCCTTACCTACCTGTGGCTCTGTGTGAGTTGGAGAGGGGGGCTGATGCTTCAGCAAGAGCTGCAAGGGTGGCCAACACTGAGGTGGTAGAATTTGAGAAGTGTACTGTTGAGGAGGCAGAGGTAAAAAAGGCAAATGAGGTCCAGCAGAGAGAATAAATGGAGATGAACTAAAATAAACTGAGATGCTTTATTAAGTCTAAACCTTAGCTTTTCATGCTAATGTTCTTAATCTTGCTCCCTAATACAAACTGATACAAACCAATTATCATGGTGTTAAAATTCTTTAAAGGTTTAACAAATTTTCCCTTTAAAGTGGACTGAAGTAATATGGTTGGTGTAGGGCCAGTACCGTCCCCTCATTTGCTCATTGTCTCAGCGAGGCCAATGCTTAACATCAGCAGCTAACAGACCAAGAGTGCTGCCCACTCCCTAGGCTAGCTGTGTAGAGCTCTCCCTGGCAGCAGGCAGGACCCGTATGGAGGGAGTATGCCTCACTCTGGCTAAGCAGTGATAAGGGAAGAGACCGCTCCTGGGCTTTACTTGATCTACTACTTCGATTCATCAGCTAGACAGGTGAGAAGACTAAGCTTGACCTCTAGTGTGAGGACAGTTAAAAACTTGAAGTTTCACATATTGAATATCAAAGGTAGGACAATCAATGCTGAAAAACAATAACCATCTACTTATGTCATGATGTGCTTCAAAAAAAAAAAACTTTTTTCATAAGCTTTTTCTTTCGTATCTGCATGCTATTCTTACAGCTCAGTTCCTAGACGGAGTGTTTTAGATCTGGCAACAGACATGCCTAACTTTATAAACAAAAAGGATTACTCAATGGTTCTGCATAAATCTAACTTTTATAAAATGAATTGCATTTTCCTATTTCAAAGATATTTATTGTGCCAGTTGTAAATTTATTGCCTCTCAGTCCCAAGTCCACCGTTCCCTGCCTTGCCTTGTGATAATGAAGCTGGATTCATAAACATTTCTTGTCAGCTGGCATGAAATTAAGTTCTTTCTGTCATACAGAAGTAGTGGCTGCTCCCAATATTGTTTTTTCTTTAAATGTCAATAGCACCAAGGAACTTTACTTTTTAGTTGTTTTTTAGATTTTATTTGTTTATTTAGAGAGAGGGAAAGAGAGGGAGAGAAACACCAGTGTGTGAGAGATAGATACATTAATCCGTTGCTCCTTACACAACCCCAAATGGGGGCCTGGCCCGCATCCCAAGCATGTGCCCTGACTGGAAACCTTTGGTTCACAGGCCATCACTCAGTCCACTGAGCCACATCAGCCAGGGCTGTTTATTCCTGTATTCTTCAGGGCTCTCTGCACCTCTTAGTAGTTAATCCACTCTTACTAAGAATTCTGTATAAGTTACATATATAACTTTATAAATTATATATGTATATAAAATAAAAATATACAAATCACCATGTAGTTTTGTGTCCCAACTAGACTCTGACTGATACACATCTTTTCTTTTAAGATTTTAAAGTTTATTTATTTATTTACTTATTTTTAAAGAGAGGGGAAAGAAGGGATAAAGAGAGGGAGAGAAACATTGATCAATTGCCTGTTGCATGCACCCCAACTAGGGACTGAACTTCAGTCTAGGCATGACTGGGCCTTGACTGGGAATTGAATTGATGATGACCTTTAGTTTGTGGGACAACACCCAACCAACTGAACCACAACGGTCAGAGCCACATATCTTCTTTTTAAATGTATTCTTAATTTTAGGTTTTACCGTTATCTACACTTAAAGATTCTACCTTTTCTTCTATCAAAAAGGAAACTGCTGTTTAACACTCTTATAATAAATCCTCCCAAAGAGGAAATAATTCTTTTCTGACATGATTACTCTTGGGAACCTAACTTATTTATAAAGTTAAACTTTAGAAGATTTTCCTTTAAAAGGTAGATTTCTTGTGTGGTACTCCTCATAGTTGCAAACTTACTCAAAACTCTGGGATGATGACTGTGGGAGTGGGGATAAAGGTAGAGAGAGTGATGACATCCCTCTTTCATTCTAATTCTCATAGACTGTTCAGGGGACCAAACGGTCTGAGTGGAACACAATGCCTGACTTCCAGAAAGGAGCCTATGTCTGTCTAATGACTTCATGCAGAGCAGGGTCCAGCCTATTCCCTAATTTTTCTGCTTAGTTAATGCTTTTCTCATCACTTAGCCTATCATAATAAATGCTGACATAAGAACTCACAAATGAAAAAAACAAAATACAAGTGATTTTTAGATATATGTACACTCATGGAGGTTAGACTATCTGTGACAATAAGTCACTAGCAATTAAAAAACAAGGGTGTTATATTTTACCACAGTTAGCACAGACACATACACGAAGGTAGGCCACCCAATTACTGGAGAACAGCTATGTAAAACTGCTTCACGAGAACAGCATTTTATACGTAAAAATGATTTATTGATTTTCAGGGAAAGAGAGGAAGAAGGGAGGGGGAAAGGGAAGAAAAAAGGGAGGGGGTGGGGAGAGAGAGAGAGACATTGATTTGCTGTTTCACTTATTTATGAGTTCATTGGTCGCTTCTTGTATGTGCCCTGACCCAGGACTGAACCTCAAACTTGATGTATTGGGATAACACTCTAACCAATCTAACCAACTGAGCTACGGGACCAGGACCAATTATATACTTTTTAGCACATGATGATTTCAACCTAATGGTACTCTCCTTTTGATTCAAACATAATGAAGCCCTGGCTGGCGTAGCTCAGTGGATTGAGCTCGGACTGCGAACCAAAGTGTCGCAGGTTTGATTCCCAGTCAGGGTACATGCCTGGGTTGCAGGCCATGACCCCCAGCAACCGCACATTGATGTTTCTCTCTCTCTCTCTTTCTCCCTCCCTTCCCTCTCTAAAAAAATAAATTAATTAATTTAAAAAATAGTTAAAAACTTCAAATCCCACTATAATGTTTAAAAAAAAAACAACAACACCATAATGACCCATTACCTTCCCCTCAACAGCAAAATGAACATTTGTGAAAAATCAGGTTAAGTGTTCTGACATACACAGCTGAAATTGAAGAGAGATAATGCAAGTGACCCCTTTAGATTTATCCCTGTGAGTTCTAGGAAAATAAAACACTTTATTGCTTAGTAATGTGGGTTTTCTTCTCCTTAATGTAAGACACAACATCAAATAAAGTAAAACATGCACAGAGACTGTTGTGTTTGGAAGGGAAATGGCATTATCAGTGACAAGTCTTGTTATTTATTCAGAATGTGATGCATAAACAAACTCTTCAGAACAGGATTTAGGGGAGTATGCTGTGGTAGGCTAGATAGTTTCAGTAAGTTAGTGAAAACTAAATCCAGAAAAACCAAGTAACTTGCCAAAAATAATGTAGCTAGTAAATATCAGAGCCCTGATGAGAACCTAATTTATTAGATTCAAGCCTATACTATTTTTTTTCTTTTATCCTCACCCACGGACATGCTTTTTGATTTTAGAGAGAGGAGAAGGGAGGGAGAAAGAGAAAGAGAGAAACATCTATGTGTGAGAGAAATATTGACCAGCTGTGTCTTGCACGCCCCCAACCAGGCACCTGGCCCGCAACCCAGCCATGTGCCCTGACTAGGAATTGAACCAGTGACCTTTCAACTTGTAGGCTGGCACTTAATCCACTGAGCCACACCAGCCAGGGCTCAGTTAATCCTTAAAAATATTACTAGACGATGGGAAACAAGAAGCTCACCCACCATTCACAATAAGAAAATCCTTTAACCCAGTTGAATAACACAACTTGAATTTGTTTTATAATTTTTCTTTTATCTGCACTGATTGAACATCAAGCAGGCCAATCCCCTAAAGAGGAAGAGCTAGGTAGAACTCTTTCATGGTAAAGATGACATTGGAGAGATTAGCTCTATTATGGGATGTTTGACAATTTCAATTTGCAGTTGTCAACATTTGGAAGAGAAAAAGAAGAGCAGGTCTGCCAAAAGTAACACAATAAACGTGACATAGGCCCATGGAAGCCAAGGCTAACAATCATTATCCTGAACGTCTTCAGTTTTGCTTACTATTCCAGATCAGAGTCTGGAGACTTTCAGTAGTTAGACTAAAGATCAACTCTAGGTCTTTTCACGTTTGTGAACATAAAACGTTACTGGCATCTAAAGACCTGGATTACAAAAGCACTTGTTCTAATCAGTGTGGCCTGAACTACTACAAATCCAAAAGGCTGTGAATGTTCTGATTACATGTGTCTGTATATTTAAGCTAATTTTACAAAATCATTTAGTTGAAAACAAAGTGATTTTAAATGAGGTGATAAGCTATAAAAGGGAGGTCACTACTGCCCCCTTGTGGGTATGACCAAGTCAATCTTCATTAAGAAGCTAATTTTCACTTACCGCTAGCCATTACTGAAGCCCTGCTATAAAATGGACCCTTAAATACAAGTCTCACAATAACCTCATAAGGTGGATATTATTATATCTCAATTTAATAAATAAGGAAAGAAGGCTTAGAGAAATAAGTAGTTTTCCCACAGTCAAGCATCTAGTCAATAAATATTTGAATGCAGATCTGAATGTACAATTCTATGTATATTGTATACATGTTCTATTTTACCACACTGCCTCTCAATAGTAACACTTCATGTAACATCTTCCTTTGATATTATATAAACTTAAGTAGGAATATAGTTGCTTAATTTTAAAATATTTTATTTACTTATTTTTAGAGACAGGGGAAGGGAGGGAGAAAGAGAGGGAGAGAAACATCAATGTGTGGCTGCCTCTCACACACTCCCCACTGGGGACTTGGCCTGCAACCCAGGCATGTGCCCTGACTGGGACTCAAACTCATGACTCTTTGGTTCATAGGCTGGCACTCAATTCACTGAGCCACACCAGCCAAGGCTGTTGCTTAATTTTAAATAAAAATCAGAAAAGAAGAGTCAGCTGGAAAATTTATTTAAATGAAGACACAAGTTATTTTGTTGTAAAACAAATATTTGTAAAGAGAGGTTGAAAATAAATTAAGTTTTCTCCTTTTAAGACAGACATTTTTGTTAAAAAAACACACAGGTTTTAAAAGATCAATAGCAAACATTTTCACCTGTTATTTTGTTGTTATATATGTTCTCCAGAACAAACTGAGACACATACTTTATTCAAATAATCACATGCACCTCTTTTATGCCAGCACTCCAACAACCACTTAAGTCTCTTTTGCTTTATTTCTTATTGCTTTGGATTATGAATATTTAACTATTTTCCTTAGCAGTACTATATTGAAGTACCCCTGTATTTTCATTTTCTGGGTCAGACATAACACTTCAACAGATTAATCTGTAGAGTATTTTACTTTGAACACTGAGCAAGCACTCAGACAGAACCCCTATGTATGATCTTCCCTTCCCCCAGAGAGAATAAGTACATTAGCTTTAAAATCTATTATAAATCTTCTATTTGGGGGAGATTTTAATAAAGGAGTGGGTATCAGAGAGGGTATCTACACACCTCATAGGAAAACCTGGGGTTTTCATTTTAAGTCTAAAATAAATGTGATGGTATCAGAGTATTACCTGAGGTTGTTTTGGTGTTGGCTGAAGAGACAAGGCTAGCGAGGTTGACAACCTCTCCTGATGTGAAGATAAATGGGGTAGCCATAGTCACAGGGTTGACTCTCTCATGATTAGCATTCACCTGATTCTGCATTGCTTCCTATAAAACAAGGTGGATATTTCAAAGTCAGAACACTTATTAGCCATAATTATACAGTTACTGAAGAGCCATTCCCCATCTCCAATGCTCTATAAAACGGAACTAGTTGTAGCACACAATGTCCCAGGGAACTCAGATTTCTCATGAAAACCACTTCTTACTTTTTGTTTTAGGACCAGGAAAACAGAGATATTAATTTGCCTTCTCAAGCTTGTTTCTACTTTACAAAAAATGGTGTATTGTGTGCAAAAACTTCTACACAACTCACTTAACCTCTGGATCTTAGGGTTTTTTGTTTTGTTTTGTTTTTAGTTTGAAAAATAAGGAGGGTGGCACTAAAATATTGAAAAATAAAAAGTAATTTTTAGCACCAATATTCTATGATAATTATCTACAAGTCAATGTGTTACGAGGAGATCTCTACAGAGAATCTATAGAGAAGAATATTCCCCAGAGTTTTTTCCAATTGCTTGTTCCATTCTGCCACTGGAGAATTCCTCAGAGAATATATAACAAGCAAATAAATGAGTGCTAGATTTTAAAGTCTAGTTTCCTATGCTGCACTTTTGCTTCCAGGAATGTTTGTACAATTTTGAGTAAAGACACTTATCTTTAATTTATCATTATTATTATTATTTACTTTCAGCATGTTTTCTACAAACATGATCACTCCTAAAAAAGTCCCAATTATGAAAGGGCTCTAAACAAGGAATTGAAAGTTGAAGAGGATAACCAGTCTATAGGGAACCATCTGTAAGAAACAAAAAAACCCCCCGAATAATCGACTGCAAATGCAGCAGAAATGTCTATTTTTCATATATAATTATCCCCTTGACTAATTTCAGCTTGAAACAGATTACCCGTTCTCTGGTTACTGTTAAATTCCTTCCTGACTATGCCCCTTCTATCCTCTACTACACTTCCTCAACTCAAGCCCTCAGTGGCTCTTGTCTGGCCTAATGAAAGTCAGTATATGGTTCTTTGGCATTAAGTCTTCTCTCTGCAAGTCTGCATACCACACGCTAAATAATCACCTTAAAAAAAAAAAGTCTAGCCCTGGCTGGCGTAGCTCAGTGGATTGAGCTCGGGCTGCGAAACAAAGCATCGCAGGATCGATTCCCAGTCAGGGCACATGCCTGGGTTGTAGGCCACAGCCCCTAGCAACCGCACATTGATGTTTCTCTTTTTCTCTCTCTGTCTCCCTCCCTTCCCTCTCTAAAAATAAATAAATAAAATATTTTTTTTAAAAGTCTAACTTATATCAATCCTATATTTTAAAAGTTCTATTGGATCCCCACTACCCACAAAATAGTCTAAACTCCTTTGTATGCCATGTAACACTCCTACATTGAGAACTCAGCCTATCTCTCAAGCCTTAGCTCCCAAATTCCACTTCCCTTGCCTAGTCACAGAACTATTTACCTTTCACTGAATATTCCATGTGCTTTCAACACCTATATACCTTTTATTTGCTTTTTTTAAAAAGATTTTATTTATTTTCAGAAAGACGGGAAGGGAGAGAGAAAGAGATGGAGAGAAACACTGATTGGTTGCCTCTCGCACATCCCCAGCTTGGGACCTAGCCTGCAACCCAGGCACGTGCCCTGACTGAGAATCGAACCTGTGACCTTTCGGCTTGCAGGATGGCATTCGATCCACTGAGCCACACCAGCCAGGGATGATTTGTTCTTTTTCTAGCCTAGAAAAACATTTTCTCACTTGTCTACCTACTTTTCAGATTCTGCATCCACTTTAATCCTTACCATTAAGCAGCAATACTCCCTTTTTTGTGCTCCTGTAACAGTTCCTAAATACCTGTTTATCAACAGAATATTGTAATGCTTTATTTCTTGTCTAAACTTCATCATGCTGGCCCTGACTGGTATGGCTCATTTGGTTGCAAAGCAAAAGGTTGCCAGGTGGATTCCTGGTCATGGCACAAGCCTGGGTTCTGGGTTCAGTCCCTGGTCAGGGGCACATATGAGAGGCAACTAATAGATATCTCTTTCATATTGATGTTTCTTTCCCTCTCTTTTCCCCTCCTTTCTCCTCTCTCTGAAATTAAATAAATAAATAAAATCTTTAAAAAAGAAATAAAAATAAAAATATATATATTAATGACATTGAGTCACAAGATTAAGGCCTATTAGAAGTATTTCTCTGAGCCCTGGCTGGCGTAGCTCAGTGGATTGAGTGCAGGCTGAGAACCAAAGGGTTGCAGTTCAATTCCCCAGTGGGAGGCGTGTGAGAGGCAACTACACATTGTAGTTCCTTTCCTTACCCTCTCTCTATTTATTTATTTATTTAAAAATAAATAAATACAATATTTTTTTTAAAAGAAGTACTTTTTGATAAGATAATGAAAATTCAGTTTTTATTTAGCTCCCACAATACATCCTTAAATTCAACTGAATTATACTCTGGGGATGAAATAAAAAAACAAAAAACCAGACCTGAAGGATGACCAGAATTTCAGCATTGTTCTTCTCCAGGGCTATGTCAAAGGCAGATTTATCAAACTTGCTAAAAGCATGGACATCAGCTCCATATTTGATAAGTAGCTCTACAACATCTCGATGGTGGTACTCTGTGGCCCAATGCAAAGCTGTCATCTTCAGCATATCCTTGGCATTCACGTCTGCACCATTCTGTCATAGAAAAGTAATTCTTTTCATATAGACACTGGTTACAACGCAAGATCTCATCACCAATACAGAGGATCATGTTAAGAAATATCAAAGGGAAAAACATTTTTCAAATTATCTTGAATGCTGACAGAAATAAGGTCTTCAATGAATGCGTCTCTTCTAAGTACATTACTGGGAAATAATGACAGATGGGAGAAGGGGAGAGAAAACGATTTTTGTTGCATTTATTAACAGAGCTGCATGTCTGAAAAAATAGGCATAAGTGCAGAGAACACCTGCAGAAATGACATGAAGAAAAATCAATAAAGTCTGTTTAGCTTTCGAAAGATTAGAAAGCAAAATTCTCTTAGTCATGATTAATCTGGAAAGAGATGCAACTCAATGCTATAAACTGTCCTCAACTTGATCTTTCCCAACCTAGTTTCCTACCACTCATTTAGGTAAGGGAGGTGAATGTCTTTTTTACAATATAAACCCACCACTATTCTTGCTTTACCCTAACAAGAAGTTCCACGATGTGCGCATGTCCATCAGCTGCAGCCATATGCAAGGGGGTTCTGTCCACTTTGGTTCGCGCATCCCTGCTAACGCCTGCTCGCAGGAGCACTTCTGCTGTGGAATAATGACCATACTGGGCTGCAAGGTGGAGGGGTGATGTTCCAAGCTGTGGGAAAATAATACCCACTGAATTATCAACCATGTGCAGACTCTTAAATCATTACTGAGAGATTCAAATGAACAAGAGGTAAGTTCCATGCTTCCTGCCCTTGGAGACAGGAACTGGTTGGACAGACAGGACTGAAGAAATGACTTAATTAAAAAATTAGCCCTGACTGGTGTGGTTCAGTGGACTGGGTGTTGTTCCGTAAAACAAAAGGTCATTGGTTTGATTCCCAGTCAGGGCACATGCCTGGGTTGGGGGTGTGTGAGAGGCAATGGAGATGGATGTTTTTCTGCTTCTTTCTCCCTCTTCCCCTCTCTCCAAGAATAAAATCTTTTTAAAAATTAATATACTAATTAGGAATAAATATATCACCAATTAAATAAATGCTAAATATAATGGATTTAAGTCAGGTGCAATTCCCTGAAGGGGATGATTTTAAGTAGGGCTTAGAAGAAGGTAAAAAAAATGGACAGACAAGAGCATTCTGAGTCAGGGGTAACAGGAAGGGATAGGTGCAGGTTCAAAACAATTTTTAGGAAAAGGGAGGGGACTAAAAAGTTGCATGTGGAACTTGGGGCGCCAATTTAATTGGTTGGAATAGAGGTTTGTTACCATAGTAAAGCAATGCAAAGCAAAAAATACTGAGGAGATGAAGAGGCAATAAAAATTTAGCTATCAAGCCCTGGATGGTGTGGCTCAGTTGGATGGAGCATCATCCCATAACTGAAAGGTCACAGGTTCAATTACTGTTCAGGGCACATACTTAGATCGCAAATTTAGTTGATGTTTCTCTCTCACATCCATGTTTCCCTTCCTCTCTCTAAAATCAATGACCATGTCCATGCGTGACAGTGAAAAAAAAATTTAGCAGTTGAGTATCAACAGCAATAAGCAAGGCTATATCATCCCAAAGTAAACCTTATAAGAGTTACCATCATCCACTTTGGCTAGAAATCTAATCCTTTCTTTGTGTTATGCTCTGTATTTTAAGCCTATTTCATTTATTCTTTGCTTTTCATATATTCAGTCTCTCTGCCTGACTGGATTTAATTCACATTATTCTTTTCAGGTCTATTTATGGAAATGCTAATCTCATTGGTTTCCTTTCTTCTTTTTGTGAGGTGCCAAAGACCTGCTGACCACTAAAGTTATGAACTAATCACTCCAGAAAAGAGGACATTCACTCACTGAATTGTTAAAATTAGTCAATGTTTACAAAATCTGTGAATGCTAAGCAAGCACACATTATAACCTAGACCTGGATATTATAAAACTCTGCTCTCCAATCTGCCTCTCAACGCTTATAAATTACACCTTCCTCTTTAATGTTTTTTAACAGTGGTAAAGGAAACAAAATGGCCAGACTATTCCATTAACCAGGACATTTTACAGAAAAGGAAACAAGAAGTTTATTAGTTTAAAAATGTGCTTTTATTATACTGATTTTGTTTAATTTCTAGCTAATTACAGAAGCCTATAACCTAAGTAAACTTCAGGGAGAATTAAGCTTGTACAAAATACTCTGAAAAGCATTATAGAGAATCACAAGTATATAATACCTTTACAATTACCATCTATATATCCACAGGAGACACTTTCAATTTAGAAAACTAAAAGAAAAAGAAAATCACATATGCAGATGAGATAAAGAAAATAAAACTCCTGAGAAGAGAATGAGGCAGAAAGGGAATCAAGAAAAATCAATAAAGTCTGTTTCGCCTTTAAGAAAAAGATTGGTGCCCTGGCTAGTGTGGCTCAGTGAATTGAGCATGGGCCTTCAAACTGAAAGTTCGACAGTTCCTTCCCAGTCGGGGCACATGCCTGAGTTGTGGGCCAGTCCCCAGTTGGAGAAGTGAGAGGCAATCAATGTTTCTCTTGCACATCGAGGTTCCTGTCTCTCTCTCTCTCTTTCTCCCTCCCTTCTCCTCTCTCTAAAAATAACAAATTAAAAAAAAAATTTAAAGATTTTATTTATATACTTTTTTAGAAAGGATTAAGGAGGAAGAAAGACAGGGAGAGAAATATCAATGTGTGGCTGCCTCTCACACACCCCCTACTGGGGACCTGGCCTACAACCCAGGCATGTGCCCTGACTGGGAATTGAACCAATGATCCTTTGGTTTGCAGGCCAGCACTTAATCCACTGAGCCACACCAGCCAGGGCTAAAAATAAAAATCTTTACAAAAATAAAAAGAAAGAAAAGAAAAAGATTGGTAACAGCACACACTGGGAATAATCAAGAGAGCTTACCCAGTCTGTGGTAAATGGGGCACCATTTGCCATCAATGTTCTCACTTCATCATCTTGGCCTTTTCTTGCTGCTTCTAGCAACCTCTTCCCTAAGTCCACCAAAGACATCTTTATGCATAGGAACAAAAGTTTTCAGGAAGCTGTAACTCAAACACAAGGAAAGCTGCCTGTAAAATGGTTCTAGAAGACTTCTTGTACTTTGATACACTTCTCAAGATGACTTACCTGGCATTTCTTTTCTAGCTCATCATCTAACACAAACAATTAAGTATTTGGAAAAGTTTCTGGCCCTAAACAATAGTTCCCTCACTTTCAATCTCCAGAAAAATGCTTTGGAAATACGTGGAATACATCACCTTTCTAGCTTAAGAGATGCTAGAATGGCAATAAAACAGCATTCTATCCATTTGACATGACCATGGGTAGAAATATTATGTTACGGGAAAGAATGACAAACAAACCAAGGATATTGAGACTCAGGTATCTGGTAAACACTTTTTCAAAAATGAACAGGTTGAACCTGCCACTTCAAGGAAAATAATCAACGGTATTTATTGACAATTATCAACTATAATTTGAGCTTTCAAGCAAAAATTCAAATTTTGGGAAATCTACATACACCAATTGATAGCTGACTAACAACTTTTTGATGAAATTCATGGTGATACTAATGAATGTGAATTTTTAAATATTATATAATAAAATGCATCAACATTTGGGTAATTTGCATAATCTGGCGAGCCAATGTTTTTCGAATAACTAATGTATGTTATAAAATAAAGCAGGGGTAGGAAGAGGGAGGAGAAGATGGCTGAGGAATAGAGGGAAGTTATACTCACCTACTCCCAGGCCCAAACTGGAATTACAACAAAATTATGGCACAATCAGCCTAAATAACCAACTGAAGACTAGGTGAACAGAAGTCTTATAACCAAAGATTTATAGAAGCCACATCAAGGCTAGACTATGTGACATAAGAGCCACACAATGGAAGAAGCCTCAATCCCTGAGTGATTGTCTAAAAGAGAGCTACTCAGAAATGTGGCACCTACAATGGACTTTGCACAATTAAAATTAAACCTTTACTTCATTAAAAAAAATTACACAGGGGTAAAAGATTAATTCAAAGTGAAAAACAGATCAATGAGTTTTAAGGTAACAGTATAAATATTTCACTGATACAGTTTTCAGATTTCTCACTGCAACTAACTTTTAAGAAAGTACCACTTGTTATACCTGAAACTAATACAAAATAATATTAAATGTAAACTAAAATTGAAAAATAAACTTTTAAAAAAGAAATTACTACTTGTTGAATTTCTGTGTAGCAGCAGAGAATAATACCCACAGTGATCTGAAGTTACTGAAACACCCCTCCCTTTCTCCAAGTTCAATATTGCAACAAATTGAATGCAGAAATAGATATGAAAATGCAGCTGTCTTCTAAATAGCCACAAGTTAAAGAAAGTTGCAAAAATATAAAGCAATGCCCTTCTTCTCACTATCTCTTTGACTTGGAAGATATATTTTTCATAAAAATGTATTATCTATAACATATGGTGGATTTATTATTGTATTTTAATTAACGTTTAAAAATTAATTTCTAAAACAGTAAATATCAATAGATACACCATTTTGGAGTCCTCATTAATTTTTAAGGATATAAATGACTCCTGAAATCAGAAAATTTGAGAATCACTATCTTGGGCAAATAACTTGGTCATTATGTAATTCAGTTTTCCAATCTGTATCACAGAGCATTGTGCTCAAGCACAGGTGTGTGCAAGAGATCACCAGAGAAGTCTGTTCAAAAGGGAATCATACCTACACAAGGCTCTGGTATGAGCCTTCTGAAATGGTGCATTTAGGAGCAGAGGATGAACTTTTTTAGTGTAAACTTCTATAATCTGATCTAAATGTCAGTTTTCACAACTCAAAAAAAATGCTAGAGAAAAAAAGATAGCAAAAACTTCTCACAGAAAACCAGTACTTTGCATTTCTCTATGGTTATGTTCATTTTAAAGTATCAAACAGCCTTTCAATTTAATTATCTTATTACTAATATTTAAAAACAAGAACAAGCCCTGATGTGGTGAGGCTCAGTCAGCTGAGTGCTGGCTTGGGAATCTTTGGACGAAAAGGTCGCCAGTTCGATTCCTGGTCAGGGCACATGCCTGGGTTGCTGGCCAGTCCCAAGTTGGGAACATTGGAGAGGCAATTGGTCATGATGTTTCTCTCCCTCTTTCTCCCTCCTTTCCCTCTCTCTCTAAAAATAAATAAAATCTATTAAAAAATAAAAACAAGAACAAATTTCTAGATGGTTCATTTATTAGTTAGAAATAATTGCTTCAGTCCTGGCTGGGTGGCGAAGTAGTTAGAGGATCACTCCACTACTCCAAAGTTGCAGGTTCAATCCCCGGTCAGGGCACATACAAAAATTAACCAATGAATGCATCAATAAGTGAACAACAAACTGATGATTTTCTCTTTCTCTCTCCCTAAAAATAATAATAATAATTCCTTCAAATTTTTTCAAATTATACTATAGAGGGGTGGGCAAAAAGAGGTTTACTATTGTGAGTACACAAAACAGAATTCACTCTTGCACTATTGTTTATTAATTATTGTATTGTTTCTCATACAAACTGTAAACGTACTTTTGTCTACCTCTGTATATAAAAGGTGTATCACCAAGCCTTAACAGCTCTACAGTAACTGACCACAAAGAGAAAGACTAACCTACATATGGATGTTCAGAAATGTTGCCACAAAGCAGGATTAAACTATCCTCTTAATAAAATTCCAGCTCTATTCTCTACCAAACACATACACAAAAACTTTCAGTTGAAGGCTGAGGTATCTGTTTAAGGAGTAATCTGGTTTGCTTCACATTCCTGGGAAGCTGATACTTCTGGAAAATAAGATACTTTAAACTGATTTTATCTCACTGCAACTGGTGTCTCTAGTACCTGAACTCTTGCAAAATGTTAATTGAGCAAATCTTTTCAATTTTTTCCCACTGTATTCTGCTTTCATATGTTAATTCTATCACATCTTTTTTAAAATTTTTATTTGTTGATTTTAGAGACAGTAAGAGCTTATTCCACTTCTTTATGCATTCATTGGTTGCTTCTTGTATGTGCCCTGACCCAGGATCCAACCTGAAACCTTGGCGCATTCAGACAACGCTGTAACCAACTGGGCTACCCTACAAGGGCTTATCACATTTCTTTAATCATTATTTGTGAGTCTGTATATCAGTATCCCTAAATAGCAACTGACCCAAACTTGTCATCCCAAACTTTAGGTCACAAGAAGCCTTATTTCTTACCACATGAAGATATCATTATTTATATATAGATATATTGATTAGAATGTAAATAAGGTGTAATAGTCATTACTTGATATAAAATGTCTCCTAGAAATGTGTTCTTCAGGGTTCTTTTCTCCCCATACTTTCTTCTTTTGAGTAAAAGTAAAATCTGTTTTTATTGATTGATTTATTGATTGATTTTAGAAAGAAAAGGGAGAGGGTGAAAGAGGAAGAGAGATTGAGAGGCAGATTTGTTGTTCTACTTATTTATGCATTTATTGGTTGATTCTTGTGTCTTGACTGCAGATCAAACCTGCAACTTTGGTGTATTCTGAGGATGCTCTAACCAACTGATCTAGGGGCCAGGGCCAATAAAATGTATTTTTACAATAACAGCATTTGGGGGGAACTATGTGCCATTTTCCCGGTATCCTATGTCAATGTGGGCAGTGCCCACCAGATAAAAGATGTAGCCTAAGAGACAAGAGGACAGTCTAGGGACTTTTGAGCTCCCTCTTCCTGATTACTTAAAAAAAAAGGGGGGGGGCACATTCTCCCTTAACATACATACCTCCACTTTCCCTACATATAAAATTAAAAAACAAGCCCTGGTTGGCATAGCTCAGTGGATTGAGCTTGGGCTGCGAATCAAAGCATCGCAGGTTCGAGTCCCAGTAAGGGCACATGCCTGGGTTGCAGGCCACAGTCCTCAGCAACCGCACATTGATGTTTCTATCTCCCTCCCTTCCCTCTCTAAAAATAAATAAATAAATTTTAAAAAATTTTAAAAACAAAATCTGGCCTAATTTGTCTCTTAGGACTTTTAAGATAAATAAAACAAAGCACCCACACCTCCTTTCAAACACGCAAGAGCTTTCAATCACTGTGCTTTAATAATGAACGAAGTGCTTGAGCTCTTGATAACAAAACTCTATTATTATTAGAAAGTAATCACGTTGGTTGATATAAGAATTTGGGTGGGGCAGTTCTTTCATTGTTATCAAAATGTATATGAAAATAGATGGTTAAGAACATTTATATTGGACTGGGTAGATCCAATGGTATACTGAAAATACTGTCCTAGATGGCCAAAAGAGTTAAATTGTTGAAGGTAAGCCATAGAATGTGCTTTTCCAGAGATAGAGAGGTGTGTGTGTGTGAGTGAGTGAGTGAGTGAGAGGGAGGGAGGGAGGGAGGGAGGGAGAGAGAGACATCTTCTGGGACTCTGGGAAGGGAGAGAAGAATGGGATGATCTCTGCAGTAAATCTGTGAGCAGAGAGAAAACTAACGGGAAGGCGAATCAGAATTGAAAAATCCATGGCCTGACGACCTTTTCCATTTTTTTTTTTTTTCCTACTGCACACGTCCCTACTGAGCCTCCAGCTGTACAAACAACTGTGCAAGAGGCGGGGCCCTTATGCTCTTGTTCAGATTAGCGTGCTCACTAATAATCTTTAGGCTATTCCTGGGGCCCGGGAATTAGAGTCCCCGTTTTCTCCTCTACCACAAATTCTCCCGTTTCCCAGCAAAATTCTGTCTTTCGGGAAAAGAGTCCGTCAATTTGAGGCAAGAGAGCCAAGATCTCAGCCTAGGAGGCAGCCCCGGCCCGGGCTCCGCGGTGCCCCCTACTGGTCACCTCTGCGGCCTTGGCTTCCCTTGGTCCAGCTCCCCAGCCCCAGGTCTTACACCCACCCCCTTCTTCACCTCCTCCCAGTCCCCTCCCCTTCCTCCCGGCAGCATCCCCTTCCTCTTCGTCCCCCTCCCCCAGGTGCCCCAGCTCCGACCAAGGGGCGCCGCTCAGTCTGCACCCAGAAGTTCGCGGCTGAGCTGGGAAGCAGTGCAACTTCTGGCAGTACTCTCCCTGCCAGCCTGACACCCCCAAGTACACGCATCTTTTCTTCCCCCTCACCTCCTCGTCCGGGACGCTGCCGGCAGCGTTTTCGCCAAGCCCGCCAGTTTGGTCTCGTTTCCTTCTCTAGTTTAGACTCCCTGTCAGTGACGGTTACTTTATGGCCTTTTCATATATGCATATTGTGGGGGCCTTTAACCCCCCTCGTGGAGAAATGGAGGCAATAAAATGGCGGACCCGGAAGTGGAGAATCTGCGAGGGTAATTTCTGGCGGAGGAATCTGTGAAGAGAAAATGACTAGGACACCTACATTTCCATTCGAACACAAAGATGATGCACCTCCGAGGATTATTTGCTATTCACCGAAGGCCTTTTGCCGTGAAAAAGCGTGTATCCTAGAAATACTAGCCAGGACTATTTAGCGTGGCGGAGGATTGTCGATTACGTGTCTTACGTGTCGTATAGACCCGGCAGGGGACGGACAGATGGTTTGTTTTGGCGCCAAGAATCAAGCGAACCGCGGAAGAGAAACGCGATTCCGTCCCGGTTTTGAGCCGTGGTTGCTTTCTGGGAGGACAGCCCCGGGCATATATAGGAAAATCTTGTTTCATTGTCTCAAGCTAGGGTGAAATAGTTTGGGACGTTCCAGGCTCTGCGCAAGAATTGAACTCTGGTGCCTGACGGACATATTTCCAGTTGCAGCCGGAACGCAAGGACCCTAGACCCGAGTGTCAGCAGGATCAGTGAAACAAATAACGGAGGCAATTCATTTGGGGGCCTGGAAGAAGATGGAGCATGAGTTTGCAAATCCTTTTAGGTATTTTAGTTACCAAACAGGTGTGTCCCATCTCCACCCACCAAATGCCAGGACTAAAGGACAGCTAGAAGTCAGGAAAGAAGTCCTTAAAAAATAAGTAAAAACAGGAAAGGACACATCATTGAGCCATTCTTTAATAGATTTTGGCTTTTAATGTTGATAGTCGGCCTCTCAAAGTCTACAAAGAAGATTCCCGTGTTACCCTTTTCTGAATTTATCTAGATCTCGTTCAAGTCATCTTTATTTACAGCATGTTGCCCAAGTACTGTCCATCTGTATCGGTATTTATAGCTTCCCTTTCTAAGTCTGAGAGTCAAAATCTTGTTTCATTGTTGTTTACATCCTTTTATACTGTCTGGCCCAGTGCCTTTCATAGAGTAGGCACCCCAACTACTTGTAAGTTAGCACAAAATTTTTTAATGAGTTTTAAGTAAGCAGATAACATATTTGGGTGAATTCGTTTATTTTCTTTGGCACTAGCGCTGAGATAAGAAACATACAGTGCCACAGGTGCCTCCTCAAATATGTTGGTAGTGGGAAAGCAGAAGAGTGGTGGGTTGCAGCTTTCTAGCTAAAAAATTTTAAGTCGATTTCACCCTTTACCTTGAACGGGTAAGTATACCCGTCCAACCTAAAGTTAGTCATTTTAATGTATAAAAGTTACTCAAGTCATTCTTCCTCAGAGTTGAATATGAGAAAAATATACAAGCTGAATGTGAAAACAAGGCTAACTTGTGAAATTCTAGACTGTGTTCCTGTGGAGAGAGAAAACTAGAATGCAGTCCTGGGGTTGAATGTCTTTATTAAAGATATGAGTAAATGGCAGCACAAATCAGCAAAAATTTTGGAAAGAGTGGGAACAGGGTGTAGGGTCAGAAGGTGATTGCTCACTTCCTGGTCTCAAGGTAGGCTGAAGAACTGTGCCTGAGGCCCAATGGCTGGTATCAGCTGGAGATGCAGGAGGGCAAGTCTCAAGTACTAGGGACCAAACCCTACGCCTTTTAGGAAAGGAATCAAGACCTTACAAATTATCATGAATAGTCATCGAGATTGCATTTTAAGATTTGAAATTGAGTGATTTTCCTCAGAGTTTTCAACCCACAGTTAGGAGCAAAATTATAAAGTAAGTAGGCTTAAGAAGAAACATCCTTTTGAGAGAGCATAACTATTCCTGAAACAATTCAGGGCTTTCTCCTATTTTCATTTTCCAAGACATTATTTCCTCTTGTTTTATATACATTTACCCCCAATTTCAGAAAAAGCAAGTTTCTTATCACCTTAATCTTTTAGGAATCCTACTGTCTTGTAGCAGATAGTCTCAAATTAAAACTTACAAGGTATTCATCAACCCTTGAAGAAATATTTGTGTTTACTGGCCTGGAACAGGGAATTAGGAAGTTTTGAGCGATCTCTAAAGCTGATTAAAATGAGGTAAAAAAAAAATATATGTATCAGTGCTTCTATTATAGTACTACTCTCTGGTGCCCCCATCAGGCCTGTTTTCTGGAATTAATACGGGGTGGAGAGGAGGAGGAATCCCCCTGACCCAGTCACTAAGTACTCCATTGCTTGAACCCTTTGTGGCTTGAGGGCTCTTGAGAGAAACTGGAAAAAAAAAACACAACCCCCCCCACATTAAATAAATAAATACATACATACATAAATAAACAAACAAATAAGTACAGAACTCTGGCAGATTCATCAGCACCACCTCAACACAGTGGAGGAGAGAAAGCAAGATTGATAGGAGAAAAGGATGGAAAGGAAAGGGCTTGAAAGGGAAGACAATGAGGGCAAAGTGGTGGGAAAGAGGAATCTTGGGCTTAGAGCAAGTCCAATTCAAAGGCGTGGATGCTGGCAATGGGAGCTCTCCAGAAGTTGAAGGTGCTGTACTCAAGGAGGACATCGCCTTCAGGATTTTTCTCCTGCTCTGTTCCAGTTGCTTGCCCGGTCATTTTGCCAACGCTGCTGTCCTTGACCTTGTAGGTGGACGTATCTGACAGACCCAGGCTTTCCAACTCCGACAGATCCAGTTCTGGAATGGGCATCCTCCAGAAAAGAAAAGAGCTGTACTGGCTACTCACAGGGTCCCTCATAACTTCCTAGAAAGAAATCGTTTGTCAGTCTTCATGCCATAGCAACCTCTTTGTGGCGCACTGCCTTTCCTTACTTAGAAACTTTACATACCCATTTGCCTGTGTACATAACCCAAGCTCCCTAGGACAATCTTCAGGAATCCTTTTTCTATTACCATTTTCTACTATTTCCACACTTATCCAACAAATGACTTATTTACTGCCTACTGCTTCAAGTCAATCTTGAGGTTGGTTTTCAAGGCCTTCCAGGATCTGGCCCTATTCTTCCTAGTAGTAGCACATTCTCTGCTGTAGTGATGCCTATCACTGTCTTGCCTAACTCTCTCCACTCTCCATCTTAAAATACTACCCAAGTTCCAATACTCCAAGTCCCAGGGGAATCTTTCCCCTGAACTATTTTTTTAAAGATTTTATTTATTTAAAGCGCTGGCTGGCGTAGCTCAGTGGATTGAGTGCGGGCTGAGAACCAAAGTGTCGCAGGTTCGATTCCCAGCCAGGGTACATGTCTGGGTTGCAGGCCATAACCCCCAGCAACCGCACATTGATGTTTCTCTCTCTCTCTCTCTCTCTCCCTCCCTCCCTTCCCTCTCTAAAAATAAATAAATAAAATCTTTAAAATAAAAAAGAATTGCATTGAATCTATAGATTGCTTTAAAAAAAATATTTTATTTATTTATAGAGAGAGGGGAAGGGAGGTAGAAAGAGGGAAACATCAATGTGTGGTTGCCTTTCATGTGGCCCCAACAGGGGACCTGGCCCACAACCCAGGCATGTGCCCTGACTGGGAATTGAACTGACAACCCTTTGGTTCACAGGCTGGTGCTCAGTCCACTGAGCCACACCAGCCAGGGCTGAACTCCTACTATGTTTGCAAATTCAGAACTTCTTCCTGCCTTTGGTTTAATAGGTTACAGGTACCTCTGAAAACAGCTTCCATGACATTTTGGCTTTCTGTTTTACTCCCTGCCTTCTAAGCCCCATTATAAACTCACTTCTTCCAGGAGGACTTCCTAAAACTTACTCAGCTCCAACTATCCATTTCTTCTGGCATTTACCCTAACACCCTGTAGAGTTTTACCTGACTATATCGGTTTGGGGTTACAGATCATTGTTATGTGTATAGGGATAGTCTTATCTCCTTCAAGGGACAGAGTATCCCCAAGGGTAAAAACCAGTCTACTTTGTACTTTCTTCACAAGTGCTGGGCTTTGTACACAAAAGACATTCAAGGCTGCTGATTAATTTTCCATCACTAATACAATGAACACCTTGTCACTGCCACCTAATTAGTCCACAGATAAGCCTTAATGGCTTATCTATTTCTCTCTAGCCTACCTCCACCTCAGAACAAAACCCGGGTGCTAAAAAGTTTTTTTCTATGCTTTAACAGTTCTCTTTTCTCTGATCACAATGCTGGACTATATGTGATGATAATGAGAGCAAATGGATTGGAAACTCCAGGTAAGGAAGGTAAAGTTTAGATTGAAAGAAGATCCTTGAACAGAATTAGATACTTTTCTATGCTTTAATGAGTACTTCTATCACCTTTTCTGCTCATCTCACCCACACCCTGATGTTATATGACGATTATACCTCCCTGCAGCCTCCACCCTACTGCTTACTAGCCAAGGGAAGGGGCAAGAAACATTAGCTGAAATGTTCCCAAAGGAGCAGAAAGAACATTCCACCACCTCCAAAAATAGAACCCCGTCTCAAAAGGACTTCCTCCAACACACTCCATTGGCTCTCATTAGGCCTTGAGATGCCTAAGCAGTGGCCTAAAATAAGTTCCAGAATGTGTTAGGTTTCAGTAGGACCTTACAGAAACCCTATCAACCTGTATAATATGAAATGTCTTTACTAAGGTAGGGAAAGAATGCATTAATTTAGAACATGTTTATGTGTGAATGTGAGGGCTTTAGGAGGGGTGGGGAGGTCGACTCAGTGTTTTTAAAGTTTAAAGTAAATTCTGAGTTGTTCTTTTCTTGTTAGGCTCAAGCTCCAAAATAAACCCTGGGAACTGAGCATTACTCAGCAGAGAAGCTGCTTATGAGTGTGATGGGGGGACTGGTACAGGGTGGGAACAAGGTGGAAACGTGAGGTCATCATCCTATAATATTTAGCTGATCATCTCCACAATAATTTGCAGAGACATGTGCACAGAAAAAAAGCTAAAAAAAAATGGTTGTACTATCAACCAATCAACCAGGGCTTACATCTGTGGCTATAAAAATCCTAAGAAGCAAATGTTGTTACCAGTTAATTGCCCACATAGCTGACTTCTTTTATACCCTCTCCCTGACCAGCTCTCTCCAGTGAGAGGTTAGTATAAGATGGGGCAAATATAACAGACTCTTTAAAAAATAGAATTGGTCCTGGCTTGATGTGGCTCAGTGGATTGACTGCTGGCCTGCTAACTAAAAAATAGAATCATAAGAGGAGAAAACATCATAGGTTTTTAAAACTAGAAAATACCTTAGAAGTTATCTAGTGACTTGTGAAGCCTCCAAGCCAGTCTGGATAGAACCTAGGTCTCATAATTCCCAGTCTGGTCCTTTTTGGATGTGTTGTACATAGATAACTGTGTACAGCTTTATATCATCCTATACCAACATTCTCAAAACTTGCAAGAATTCTTAGTTCCTGAAGAGCAGATATCAGTGGGTTAGGTGTTATTTGTTCCTGTGGTCCTAATTTGAATGCTGAACTCGCAAAAAAAGGCAGTAGAGAGCAAGTTAGAATCTGAGAAAGGGGAAAAGCTCTGACAAACTGACTTCTTTTCTTATAGCCAGTGTATGTACCAAAGCAGTCCAATCCCTGAGTGTCTGGCATAGCTTCTCTTGGCAATTAAAAAAGCTAAGGGAAATTTCATGAACTATTTATTAATTTAAATGGCCTAAAACCTTTAGCTATGACTCAGAGTCATGTACAGAGAGTACCAAATGCATTCTAGAAAGGCATTCATTCATACAAGCATTAACGGCCTCTAAAATGAAATCAAGAACATTGACTACACACACACACACACACACACACACACACAAAATGAAGCTAAAACACCTTTTACATTGATAATGGAAGTTTAAAATTTAATACAGTATGAATTTAATTCCCAAGTACCCAAATTTTGCAAGAGGTCTCTTTTCAGCTGGCTTTCTCTTCTCTCCCCATTTGCTTGATTAGCAAATATATAAAAAAAGATACACTCTCTGAGCCACGCAGTCACGCCCAAATACTCTTTGTCTAGACCCTCAGTGGGAATCCAGGGCCTCCCCGACCAGGCTTTGCTGTGTCATGCTGCCATGAAATGGAAGGACAAGGGATGGTGATGGAGGGGAATGGAAGTGCTCTGGCATCTCATTATATGTGCCTCGTCGTGGGCTTGGGTTTTTCTATTAGTCATGTCCTCCCCCACCTAGTCCACTGAGCTACAAATAAACATTTCTTTGCCAGAATCTGCCCCTATACCTAGCTCCCGTGGGCTGTACTAATTTCGATATGGGATCAGGTAGTTCAGCACAGAGGCCCCCACCTTCCTACCTCAAGCTGCCTCTTTGGAGCAAAGGTTTGAGTTGGGGAGGAGACTGTTAAAAGAAAGATGAGAATTAATCTCAATATTATCTCATAGCCTTCCCCCCAAACTCCCTCCCTATGGAGACAAGTCTGGGGTGAGGGTAGACTCATCAATAGAACACTACAGAAAAAAAAAAAAAAGGAAATATAGGGAGATAGAGGCTAAAGCAATACAGCAAGACTAGAGATTCATCAAAAAAACAAATTACAGCTTGAGAAAAAGATACAGATAACTAGACTGCAGATAAAATACCCAGGGCGATAATTTATAGGCAAATAGGTCCTTGAAATAAGGAGATAAATGCTGAGAAATAACCACATGTAATCTGTTAAAAATTAATGTCTGTATACCGGATTATAAGGCATGGATGGAGATGTGAGCGAAGAGATGTAAAACGGTGAACAAATAACTACCCGTTGTTTATGGAAGAGCCTGCTCTCCTCTTGAACTTCCCTAACCTCATCCTTATTTGGGGTCCTCAACCCAACCAGAAGCAGCTGGTCTTTATCTTTGCAGCCCCTGCCCCCCTCCCTCAGTTTAGTTTACCTGTTATCAGTGAATTACTAGTGTGCTCCGAAGATGGAGGGAGGACCCCGGCGCTCCCGGTGCCTGCTCTGGGCTGGAGAGAACGGCAGCAGTGGGGGCTTTGCCGGCTTTGTCTTCTCACTCCCTCTCGCTCTCCAGTGACAGTCTGTCGGCTCAGTCTCCCCCTGCAATGCAGCCCCTCCTAAGAAGGGCGGAAGGACTCCCCGCCCCTGCCTGTCTGACTCGGCTAATTCAAAGGATAGGTTCCAGCACACTTTCAGGAGGAAGCCAGGATTAAGGCGTCTCTGCAGGTTTATTGGTCTGCACAGTTATTGCTCAGCTCTTTCAGCACCCCCATGCTGACTGAGGGTACATTGAATGAGCAATTAATTGTCCTCTGATTTTAGGCTTATGGATTAAAATCTTAACTCTAGACAACAATAGAGTGCCCCTTTATTACCTAGTTTAAGGATTTCAGGTTACTAAATGTTTTTGAGATTCAGGAAAATTCTCCGTTCCTCTCTCCAAACCCTACTCCTTCCGACTAGCCTCCCCATCCTCACAATGGGTAAATAATAAACCGAGCCCGGTTTTCATTTGGGGTAGATGGGTGGGGGGGGGTGCTTCTGAGAAACTCGGAATTTGGCTGGGTCTGAGGAATTTGGGGGGTCCGTTTCGTTTTGCCCCCCCAATGCCTGGTGCGCAAAGGCAAACTGCAATTCCAGGGGGCTCAGCTTGGGTCCCCGGCCCTCACCGAGGGGTCCACAAGCCGCAGTGCGCAGAGCAGGGGCGGTGGGCCTCGCGGGCTCACGAGGCCTGCTCCCAGGCCCTCCCCGTGCAGTGCCGCATCAGTCCAGGGGGGAGCTGTGCACTCGCCTCCCAGCCGGACGGGTTTCGTAATCGCGTCGCCGCCGTTTCCGCCCTCGGCCAGCCCCACCTCTGCCGGCCCGCCCTCGCTCTCCGCCGCGCGGAGGAGCAAGTCCGGTAACCCCCACACTGGCCGGCACGGAGCGGGAGCCCCCCACTAGCTGCAGCCGGGCGCCCTGATGCTGGAGCAAAGCAGGTGAGACCGTGGAACTGGTCCCCGCGCCGGGGCGCCCCGCCTGCCCTGCCCGAGGGCGCTGCACCGGATGCTGGGGGTGGGGGAGGAGGGTGTCCAGGGCTGTGGACTGCCTGGGTCGGTGGGACACGGGCTGCGCCCTTGAGTAACCGCCCTCATCCAACGCTCTTGCGGCGCGCAGGGCGAGGCCGCCGAGCAACAGAAGGGAAAGGAGGGTTTGGGGTGTTGGGGGAGGTGGGAGAGGGAGAAAGTCTCCTCTGAGGCTCAGTGACCTCGGTGGTGGCGTGTGCCGGACAAAGTGGAGCCGTTCTGGGTCTTGGAAGATTTAAATTTGAGAGTTAGGTAGCCACGGAAGACAGTGACAAATCCTAAAGATTCGCCAAGGGGTCCCAATCCTAGTTCAGCGTTGGGCAGAGCAGAGAATTTCTGCGTAGAGTTGGGGGGTTGGCAGAAATAGAGTCTGTGTGACTGGAATGACTGAACATACTGGGGAGGGGGAGCTTAGGGCCTATTTCTGTTTCATCTTAAGCCCCCACAAGACCTTCCCTGGTCAAGGGCACAGTTGGTGCTGGGGTACGTGCCTGTCACTTGCCTGAAAAGTGGGGTCTGCCCCTACTTCTCTAGAGCGCCTCGGTAGCCCTTCATGTCTGGAGGTCTCCACAGGGGACCAGCTGCAGCCCTGGGCTTATTGCCCACCCCATTCTTTTAATTCTCCTCCTCTTTCTTTCTCTTTCTCTCCAGCTGCTTCTTGTGAAGGCTTGTCAGGCAGCGGGTTGGAGGCCTTGGGGCTGCAGGCAGCGGGACCGGGAAAACCGGTTTGGGGCTAGACCAGGGACCGGGGAACTACCTCTGCACATCCTTCCTCCCTGGAACCTTTCTCCCATCCCTTCTCCTGCTCACTCCCGGTAGTTTTGAAGCTGCTAAGCCCCGGTGTGACCTTGGTGTCTTTCCCAGCTCCAATTCACCCTTCCTATTTGGGACGCGGTCCTAGTTCTCAGAGCTACTTGGCTGTCAGCTTCCGGATTTATGTGATTTCATTCTGATACCTCCTGCTGCTTTCCCAGCTCCTCCCCTTCACAGCGGGGTTGAAATAGTGGGCAGTGGATTCCATACCTCTTCCTGGGCTCACCAGCTCAGGACTTAGTGTTTTCCCCAACCCAATGTCTAGATATTTTAAAGAATGAGAGTGGCTGCCAATCACTCTCACTTTTCCAGCCTTGTTCTCCCCACTCTCCCACCCCCAGTTTCACCCTGCCCAGTTTTCTCCACACTCTGACCCCCCCTGCCGCCCCACCCAAGTTTTAGTGACCCTTATGTCCTATGTCCTAGGGAATGGAATTTCCTTGTCACTTCTCATCATTCTTGGTCATTTCATGCCAAGTCCCACACATACACTTTCCCTCCACTCAGTTCTGGCCAGGTCCCTGGAAAAGGAACAGAAACGTCCTTGTTCCCTCCACTGCCCCTTTCCCTCTCTCCTCCCCCCTTCTCTTCTCTCCCCTCCCACCGTCCACTTCTGTCCACTCAGCTTTGAGCAGGGGTGCTGGGGAGAGTCCAGTCTCAGTATAGCCTGTCTGGTGGTGTTGGGGGTTTCCTCTGATTCTTCATTGTTTTCTTCATCATCCCCCACCCCTGCCTCCAACTCTTACCACAGGCTGCCACCACCATCACAACAAACCCTGTGACTGACTTCCCCATTGACCACAGCTCCCCTCACTGGACAGCTGTGTTCTGACTTCCGCCTTGTCTCATTACTCCTCCCCTCCAGTGGTGGGAAGGGAAATAAGAGAAAGCCCAGACTCCTGGGTCCTTCCCTCCCTTAGGAGCTATATCTTTTGGCTTGCAGGCCAGCACTCAGTCCACTGAGCCACACCAGCCGGGGCTAGGAGCTATATCTCAGTGTTTGTGTAATCTCATGTCAAGGCTGTTAAAACAAACAACAACAAAAAAAACTCCTCTCTTAGATGAGTCTAGGGTGCCAGACCCTCAGGATTCCGGGCCTGGAGGGAGGGGAGATTCATATTCATGCTCAAGAGCAGTATTTATAAACCTGCCCTGTTTGGAAACTATGAGGTTGCCTGTGTTACAGGACTGGGGAAATGGGGTGATGAATATTCAGGGAAGTCAGGTGTGCCCTACCTACCTGACTGGCAGGAATGAAAGTTCTTCCTTGGACACTAATGCTATTGGAAGGCTCCTTGTGTTGGCTGGTGACACTTGGGGGTGGAAGTGGTGAGGAGAGAGCAGAGGACAGGTCACAGCATGAGGGGAGGAGGGAGGGCACGGGGCGGGGGGGGGGAGGCAGGCAGGCAGGCGCAGAGCAGCGGCACGATAAGACATGTGAAGAGGGTGGGGAGGCTGGAAAAGATTTCTCATGGGACAGAAGGTACCTGGCACGTGTCCTGCACCCTGTACACAGATGATCTATACAAGACACATGCATGGAGAAACGGCCATGCCACATACTTGCTGGAAGGTATACGTGCAGGAGTGCAGTGATACAGGACACAGGGAAGCAGAGCGTGTATAGACTTAAGGAAAGATCTCAAGGTCAAGTAATGAAGGAACTGTTAAATGTCTTTGGGAGGAGTTGAGGGAAATGAGGAAGAACAAGGGCAGGGAATAGAGAGAAGAAATTTCTCACTGAGGAAAGTCTTTGTTGAGGATCATCCTGCTATAGTTAGGCACCTAGGACTTAAGTAGTCAAGATCTTAAAGAAAATGTAGGTGTTCAGGGTAAGGTTAGGAAAAAGGGAGGGACAGGGTGGAGGCCTTGTTTGTGAGAACAAAAAACCACCATTTCCTCTTCAAAGTCACTTAAATGCCCCTCCCCTTCTGCCCTAAACCCAGAGAGGAGGGAGGTAGAGTTTGTAGTACCCCCAAACTTTGCTCATTTCTGCCACTATCCTTTGGTCCCCTCCTATCACCCTAAGTGCTCCCAGCTCCCTTCCTGTCCCTCGGTACCAACAGCTACTGCTCCTTAACCCCGTGGTGTGCTTTGGTTCTTGTCCTTTCTCTGAGAGTCAGACTGTGGGGTTCTTCCATTTGGAGGAGGTTAGTGTTGGGTACAGGACTAGGGGCTTAAAGGGAAAACAGGAATCTGGGATGGGGCTTCTCGAGGTGGGGGGGATTTCTCAGTAACCTTTCTTCTCTCTCTCCTCTCTGCTCATCCAGGGTTCCAAGCCTGAGGAAGACATACCCTTGTGCCTGCCTGCCCACTTCCCTCTCCTGGCTCTGCTAGTCTCTCAGGGTCTGGGTCACTGACCCTTGCTGCTCAGCTAAGGCTTCGGAGGACTCTACTTTCTCTAGACCCATCCTGCTGAGTGAACCCAGGGCGTTGTTACACCTGAAGGGAGCGAGGAGTGGGCGGTCCAGGCACCAGAGCGAGAGCCCTGTGGGGGCCCAGGGCAGAGGAGTGAAACTGGAACCATCAGGGAACATGAGTGAATTTTGGCACAAACTGGGCTGCTGTGTGGTGGAGAAACCCCAGCCGGTGAGTGTCCCCACCCCCACCCCAACACACAGAAATCAGTTACCGTATACTATGAAGTAGACACATGATCTGGGATCTGCTAAAAAGCGCTCTTCTTACCTCCCTCTCTGACAGGGTAGTTTCTGTGGGCAGGCAGGTCCGCACTAGAGCCAAGGGGACTGGATGATGGAAGAAGCGAATAGTCCTAGCTATCACTTCCTGTTCCTGCCCATTCTGAGCCTGGCCAGGCTTGTAGGTGGAGCTTAATACCTGTCAGTTTTCCCCATTGTTTCCTCATCAGCCAGAGGTGACTTTGACATGTCCTTTCTTGGTCCAGCATTCACTCTGAGGGCCACTGCCCTCACCACCCTGCCTGTGTCCTCGCCGTGTTTGTTCTCCCAGCCTTGCCTTTCAGTCCCCGGTGATTTATTTCCCTGTTAGAGCACCATGTCCCCTTTCCTACCAGGCCCTCAGCTCTTCCCTTAGTCGTTTTCAAGACTCTTTTTTGCTTCCTCTCCTGTGACTGCAGGAGTGGAGGTGGGTTTCAGACATAACTCCCCTGTTTTCTGCAAGCAGAAGAAGAAGAGGAGACGGATTGACCGGACCATGATTGGGGAACCGATGAATTTTGTCCACCTGACTCACATCGGCTCTGGGGAGATGGGGGCTGGAGATGGACTTGCCATGGTAATAAGGGAACGGGGGCAGGCTGCTATGGGGTTGTGGCCCAGAACTGTTCCTCTTTTTGAAAGTTCAAGCAGGGGACAGAACAGAATCCTGGGTGGGAAGTATGAAGCTAGAATTAGTCCTAGTCACCAGTTGCATAAACCTGGGACCTGGCATTTCAGGGCTGACCTTTTCACCCTGGCCGAGGCTCCCTCATCTTTACAATTAGCAGGCTGTTGTTAATTGCGATAGGAGGTATATATGTCTTTTTCCAAAAATCATATCCTTCCTTCTAGTCACCTGAAGGTGAAACAGAAAACTGCTGTCTCAGTGCCACAGGAAGTCATATTGTGGTTGGGAATGTTGGGGCAGGAAAAAGGCCAAGCACCTCTGTCTTAAATAACATCTGTGTTTCTCTCTTGAAATAAGGGAAATGGGCGTGGAGATAATGAAGGAGTCTCTTCACCAACTGCTAAACTGAGATAACTATGATAGGGTCCTTTGTGAGAGGATCTTATTAGTAAAAGACTAATATTTATCTCATCCTCACAAAGGCCACTGTGGAGGAAGGCATTGAGACCTCCCTTGGAAGAATACTGATTAATTTTAACCTTTCCCGATGATTTTATTGTCAAGGAGATGGGATCAGCCTCTTCCCTGGAGGGCACGTGGGAGATCTCTTACTGTGAGGCATGAAGACTTAGGAGAGGGTTTCACCTGTGCTTTTTCACAGACAGGTGCGGTTCAGGAGCAGATGAGATCCAAAGGAAACCGAGACAGGCCTTGGAGCAACTCGAGGGGCTTGTAGCTCCAACAGGAATGGTGAGTGATTAGAGAAAGCCACTCAACACCTTCAGCACCTGCTGATGCCCTGCCTTGGAATGCCCATCATCTGCAAGAGTGAAAATCCAAGGAAGAACTAGACTGGGAGGGTCAGTAATGTAGGATCCAGAAAAGAGAAAGAGATGTACAGGCAGAAATAGAGAAAAGAACACACTGTGGAAATAGTCTGCACTTGATGGTGTCTTTCTCCCTAAGGCCTTGGTTTTCTTTGAGGGTAATCTGTTTGTTTTGTTTTCTTTTCTTTTTTAAATCAGGTTGTGCTGTCTGAAGTTTCCACTCTGTTCCCAGCCCAGAAGAGATGCTGACCCCACCAGATCCTTCCTTGAACCAGTGCCCCCAGGGCCCTCTTTTCTTTATCTGCCTGATAGTGCCTCAAAAGGCTTGGGGGCTGGACTCCCTCTGCTCCCTCTGGCTAGAGCCCCTCCTGGAGATGGGGTCAAGGCAGCAGGACTGACCAAGTGACTACTGATGGGCCAGAGGAGCTCAGCTGAAGCCCTGGACTCTCTCAGATCTGAAATAGGAGTTTCTGGAAACCTGGGATGAGGTCCCTTCTCCTGAATGATGGTCTGGGTGCCACCTGTTTTTAAACTATTAACCTGGAACTCTTTAAATGGTAGGTGGGCGAGGTTACCAAGCTGAAGCTGGCTTTTTTGAGAAGCTCCCTACCTCCCTGCCCTCCTCCTTCCTTCTGGAATGAACTGAAGCAGTTGTCAAGCAGGGGCTGGGATGGTGACCTCTGCCGAGTCTACTCTCTCAATCTCAGGCCTGAAGCTCAAGCTCCTCAATATTGCTCTTGCCAATACCAGCATCTTTCTCTAGTTAGACCTCTAACCCTGTTTCTGTAGCATTGCTAACTCTCCAGTATCTTTCCTTTTTTTAAATTAAATTTTTAATTTGAGTTCTCTTAATTACCCCCACCCTGCTGTTACCTCTGTTACATCTTAGCACCATCCCTGCTAAGAACCTTATTGCTTCCCATTGAGTAAGAGTTAAGGTAAGAGATGGATCTTAACCTGATGGTATTCCAATTAAGCCCTGAGGACCTGGCCTGCGCTCCGCCAACCTCCCTGCTGGCCCGGGTGAGAGGAGGGAGAGGGATCTGGAGAGATACCCAGAATGCAGCACAACTAGGAGTTATGCCTCAGGGTGGACTGCTTTCCTGACCAACAGGGATGGAAGGTGATTGAAAACAATCATCTGTGAGTTTAGGAAACTTAAGATTCTCACAGCCTGGGAGCAAGGAGACCCATAGAGCAAGGTTTCTCAGTCGAGACACTTGACGCTTTGGACTGGGTAATTCTTAGGAGTCGGGGACTAACTTGTGCATCACAGGATTGCTAGCAGTTATCTCTGGCCCACCCTAAGTGTGATAACCAAAAATGTCCCCAGACGTTGCCAAGTGCCTCCTAGGGAGCAAAAGCACCCCAGGTTGAGAGCCACTGCTCTAGAGTCAACCTATTTTTCTCTTAAGTGATTTCTCTGTCCTCTCCCTACCCCCATTCCATTATTCATCCTAAGCCCGAGACTTGATGAACTAGACCCTCTGTAAAATAGGCTTAATGGGCTGCACGTCATCTCCAAACAGTTCTTTATTCATTGTGTTGCTTGTGCTTGCAGGGGTTTTCTCTGTAGTGGACATGCACTATGCTGTTGCCTTCTTGCTCTCTGGAGGAGGGGTTCCCTGCTGTGGTGGCATTGGGGAAGGGAGGGAGAGAAAAGCAGTAGAGCCATAGACACCCCAGCACTGTCCTCCCCAAATTTTAAGCTCTATTTCTGTGCTCAATGTGTGGAATCAGACACAAATAAGACTCAGGGAGTTTTGTCTGAAGAACAGGTCCCACTCCTCACCTGGCTCAAGGGTCTGCTTTAGGTGGGAAAGTAATGGAGGAGCAGGGTCTTTAGGCACTTTGTTTTCTCAGGTGTTTTTTGTTCTGGCCCCTTCCTTGCCGGGAAGATTAGGAAGGCAGAACAGAGCCAATGAGCTCCTGCCTGCCCTGTGCCCAGAATGCAGGAGTCCCAGTAGCTCACTAACAGGAAGCATACTGTCTTGATGGTAGTGGGGGGTCAGGGATGTGGGAACAGAGGATCCGCTCTATTGATTCCACCCTCCACACAGTTTGCCCCCATCTACAGTGACTGAGGTTCTAATTTTTTCAAGTTTCAAGGTATTTCCTGAAGTTTTTCAGGGCCTGAGATTGCTTATAGAGATACATCCCCAGTTTACTCTGTTCCAGTCTAGCTAGCTGCTCTTGAAAGTAGCTCATCCTGTTGCCCTTAAGTAGCTCAATAGCATGAGGGTTTTACTAGATCTGAAGGGTTGACAAGATAGGGTAGAAAGACGGCAGCTCCTGGAATCTCATCACCCTGATTTTAGGCCTTATTCTTATGCTGATTCTTTGGACACAATCTTTTCTTTGGTGCTCTCTCTCCTTTAGCCACCTTCTCCAGTGTGTATGCTACCATCACTTGACAATATTTAGAGTGATGGGAATAGGTTTGAGAGTCATAATTTATATTGAAAATTTGTTGGACTTCTGAATACATTTTTTTTTCAAATAAAAAGTTTAAGCAAAATAGTCACAGAGTAATTAATCACTATGGGTGTATGTTGGGTTAGATCTGGCTGATGAAGGTAACTCCTGGAAAGTGGCTGACTTGGGATTTGTACCACTGCCCTTTCTGTGGAGAAAAGAAGACTGAATATTAGGAAGGCAAGACCACATCATCTTCTAAGGGCTCAGCTCCTGTTTGGCACTCATCTGAGGTTTTTGGAGAGAAGTACTTTTTAAAAACCAACTTTGGAAATGAAGAAGATGAACAACATTTTATGCTGGGCGATGGGAAGGGCTCAAGGAAGATGATGCTAGCTACCCAGTTTTTCATTTTACGAGATTTTTGGTCTATCCCTCAGATAACTCTGGAAAAAGACACAAGACCAAACAATGTTTTTTCTGTACTAATACCCAGTTGGGGCTGGGATGGAAAGGGGTGGAGGGGTTGAGATGCTGACACCTCTTCTCGCAGATCAAGTGGCCATTACCTCCGGTTTCTGTCTATCTGAGTAAGGAAACAAAACAGAGAAAAGGGGAAATATTATAATGACATCTAGTTCTTTTTTCCTTGCTTCATCTCCCTCTCCCACAAACCCTCATTCCCTCAACACTACTGCCCCCTGTTGATGCTTTTTAAAAATTACTGAATAAGGGCATTGGACACATGGAGAAGACAAAAACAAACTGGCAAAATGACCGTGTACACATTTTATCCTTTCCCTTTCCTCAAAGGTCCTGTCAGCCTATCGATGGAAAATATTTGATTGGGTCAACCAGAGCACTTGGTAGCTCTTTTGGTAAAGCAGAGGACTGTCCTTCCTTGGGAATTCTTAGGTTGCTGGGAATAATCCCAGGAGAGTTCTTGGGGATGGTGGTTAAGAGCATTGGCACTGGTGTCAAACCTGGCACTCCTTTAAATCCTGCTGTGACTGCCACTTAGTAGCTTTGTAAACCCTGATTTCTTTATCTGTAAAGTGAGGATAATAATACCTCATAGGGTTGGTGGAGGACAGATCCCGGTAAAGTGCACATAGCAAGACCTCAATTATGTCCATTAATTATCTGTGCATCAAGAATTCTTTATAAGGGTTCAGAAAACTGTACTTGAACAATTAAAATAAAAACCACAACAGTAAAAAAAAAATCTTTACATATCTACAATCTTAACCATTTGGTCAATTACCATCTGATGACCAATAATTCATGTTGCCTAAAAACCAACCAGTTGTTCAAGATATAACACAGGTGGAATCCATGGGCAACAATAATGTGAAGAAACCAATGAATATTATGAATCTGTAACAAAATATAGCAGTTCATGCAAGCACACTGGGTTTAGTGACAGGGTTTTGGCTATGGGGACTTTCTCAGATCCATCATCAAAGATCCTGGCTCATCACTAAACACTTACTGGTTGCATCTTTGTGAACACTGAAGAGAGGCTGTTCCAAATATCCTCCAGCCCGGTCCTGACCTGCCTCCAAAACAGGAGAGCCGGGCTGGGGCTGACTAAGTGCAGGGGGCTGGGTCTCAGTCGGGAGCTGAGGGGCTCTATGGTGGTGGTGGTGGTGGTGGTGGTGGTGGTGGTCGTCCCACTGCTGCAGCTGGCGTCAGAACAGGGGCTCGAGTCCAGCGGGCACTCCTCAAGACGCTGATCACAGCGACATTGCTGGTAGGTGCAAGGACGGTGCTCTGTACGGAGCTGGCTCAGTGCCCCTACTCGAAGGCGCCCTGAAAGGCCCTGCAGCCTCCCGGCGCGGGTCCGGCTCATGGTGCCCGACTTGCAGTGGCAGTGCCAGGGGCCCCAGGGCATCAGCACCAGCCTCAGGTCTTCGGGAGGAGGCATGACTGTGGTTGAGATCCGGGGTCTGAGGGTGGACCCTGCTGTGGACCACCGGGTCAGGCTGGTGTCCGAGAGGGGTGGGTGCTCGGGGTTCTCAGATCTCCAGGTGGAGGGCTGCAGGCTTGTGGTCAGCCTGTATTCCGGATCCTGGATATTCGCTGCAAACCTCGAGGTTAACTTCGTTGTAGTGCTGGATATCGTACTGGCGACCTCTAAGTCACTGTTATTCTTTTGGGCATTAATCATAACCCCTTCCTCCAAAGACCCATCCCCACCTCGCTCCCACGAACGCAACCTGCTGATGTCCGTGGACACCGTACTGGCCAAGAGCTCGGCAGCAGCGGGGCCGGCCAAGCGGTCAGCATTGGCCACGACGTCATCCTCATCATCCTCCATTATTACCTTCCTCTTCGGGGGAACGCCGGTGCGGGGGATGGTCCGGTATTTGCGGGTCATCGTGCCTCCCGAGCGGAAACTGACCGGCTGCGTCCCAGCTGAAGTCAGGTCTTGGGCCCCCGCCGCCGCTGGGGGCCCCAGACTCAGCAGCAGGGCCCAGAGCAGCGCGCCGGCGGCGGGGACCATGGGGCTGGACCGTGTGGGGCTCAAAGGGAGGCCAGTGACGGAGGCCGGGACTCCTACTTCCTCTGCCTTCCCCTCTCCGCCGGGCCACTGGGTCGTTAGAACGAGGGGCTCTGCTGCGCGCGCCACGCCCCTCCCCCAGGCCCTCGGCCCCGCAGCCCCGGCTCGGCCGAAAGTCCTTAAAACCCCTCCCGCAGGACGCCACTGGCAGGCGCCGGATTGTGATGTGAGGGGCTGGGGAAAGAGCAGTTCGCTTCCTTGGCACACAGCTTCAATCTCTCTTCGCAATTTATTAACCACTACACATCTGAATTGACTAAAGAAAGGGGTGTGTGTGTGTGTGTGTGTGTGAGAGAGAGAGAGAGAGAGAGAGAGAGAGAGAGAGAGAGAGAGAGAGAGAGAGAGAGAGAAACATCAATTCGTTGTTCCACTTATTTATGTTCCACTTATGTGTTCATTGGTTGCTTCTTGCATGTGCCCTGACAGGGGATGGAACCTGCAACCATGGCTCTAACCAACTGAGTCCCGGCCATGGCTAAGAAAGGTTCTGAAAACACTTCTTCCCAGGCTCACAGGCAGCAGACATGACTGATGACATGGGGATGACTGAGGAAGAGGGGTTTACAGGGGTCCTCCAAGATTCCTGAGCGGACTCCTGTCTGCTCCCAGCAGGCTGGCAGTGTTAAGCTGTGCCCTTCCCATAGCCCCTCGCCTTCACAGACTGCTAGGATACCCCAAGTGGAAAGGATCTCAGCCCCTTCCTTTAAAAGGGTGAAAATGACTCACTGAGATGAAGTTATCTGCCCAAGGTCCTACAGCTCAAGCAAGATTAAGACCCACAGCTTTGCACTTTCCCATACAAAATGCCACTACATGCTGAAATGAAAGTCTCCCAGCAGATCAAGTTCCAGACCTCAAAGCCCCGCTTTGAAGGCAAGGTTGAGGGAGGAATGACACCCCATCGGGCTGTGAAGATCCAGCGATGGGTTAAGGTGTAGGCAGATAAATATCTTTGCTTGGTACTAAGACCCTTTATTCCAGTCGGATGAGCCATGGAGATCCTGGTCCAGCCTAGAAGAGAGAAAAATAAGTGGGCCTGGGTTTCACTCAGTGGTTTGGAGAAAGAGGCCAGGTGAAGGTGGGAAGATTGGAAGGTGGGATGCTTGAGTTGGTCATCACTTAGGATCCTTTACTCCCTAGTGCCCCTCCCTCACTGGATAGTCTCTTCTTTTCACTGCCAACAACCATATTCCTTTCTAATTTCTAGGGAATCTCCTCGAAATTCTTTTTTAAAAAGGATTTTATTTTTATACAGAGGAAAATGAAGGGAGAAAGAGAGGAAGAGAAACACCAGTGTGTGGTTGCCTCTCACACAGGCCCCTACTGGGGACCTGGCCTGCATCCCACGCATATGTCCTGACTGGGAATCGAACCAGTGATCCTTTGGTTGGCAGGCAAGTGCTCAATCCACTGAGCTACACCAGCCAGAGGTGAATCTCCTCTAAATTCTGTGCTGTGGTTATTCCTTTATTCCTTGTTGCCTTAGCACTTCTATAGTTTTTCATTTGTTTTGATTGGATATATTAGTGTTCTTAATTTCTTCTCGAGGTATATGCAGTTTTCCCAGAGACCTTGAAACATCCGAGAACAGGTCCTCTGGCTTTTAGTTCCTTTGTAACTACCCCAAAGCATTAAGAAAATGGCTTTAGCCCTGGCTAGTGTGGCTCAGTGGATTGAGCACCAGCCTGTGAACCAAACAGTCACTGGTTCAATTCCCAGTCAGGGCACATGCCTGGGTTGCTGGTCAGGTCCCCAGTAGGGAACGCATAAGAGGCAACCACACATTGATCTTTCTTACCCCTTCTTTTTGCCTCCCTTCCCCTCTCTAAAAATAAATAAATAAAATCTTAGAAAGAAAGAAAGAAAGAAAATGGTTTTACATATCCCACCCCAAAACCTTTATCCTTAAGCTCAGGACTCACTCTCTGACAGCTTCAGGGATGTGGATCTGATCCAAGGAGATGAGTTGGGCCAGTTCTCCCAGGCTATTCAGAAAACGAACCTTTCTCGAGAACTTGGAACTGAAAAGAGGGGATAAACCACATGTGTTGTATACTGGGAAGAGGGCTCCTGGAGACCCTTACAGAGGGAAGGGTAACAAGTAGAGAAGGGTTAAAAGGCTAGAAAGAGTCAGGGTGGGGCAAGTTCTAACTCTTGATTTTGAAAATGGGAAAAAGTAGGGGGACCATTTGAGATCTTGTTTCATGGCTTATGTCATCAATTTGGCTCATATAAACTCCTTTTTTTTTTTTTTTTTAAGGAAGAAAAAGAAAATGGGAAGAAGGGGAAGGGAAAGCATCCTTGTCCCCAGAGCTAGGACCCACCTGATGAAGGGTCGAAGCAGCGCCAGGAATGCCTTCACGTACCACGTAGCATGGACAACCACCAGGGCGCGCAGGTTCTTCCTTAGCCTGAAGGAGAATCGGAGATCATTCTATTTCTTCTTCTACCTTCATGCCTGAAGGGCAGGTGGAGCTACATTCAGTACTTGAACTTCCTTCATTTCTCTAACATCTAGATTTTTCTGGCAACTGGGTCTGACCCCCATTCTTTTCATTGCACTCTCAGCTCCATCCATTTTTTTCACCTCTGGGTTCCTCCTTCTTAGGAAGTTCTCCTCTTAGAATCCCTCAGCCTGGTCTTCGCTACCCCATTTCCCCTCCTGTGCCCTTCCTTTGTATAAAGCCCTTTGGGTACACTTTTCCATCTCTGCACTTTTTCTTTATTTATTTATAAAACCCCAGGTGGAGGAAAACCAGTGAGGAGAAAATAAAGAAGGAGGAAGAAGAAAAAGAAAAACGAGCAAAGGGAAGATGGAGGAAAGGAAGGAACATTGGGGGGAGAAAATCTGTGGGTCAGGGATGAACACAAAGAAGACAATGGACTGAAGTGAAATAAATGACCGGACCGTGGGAAAAGGAAGGCGTGCCTTCTAGGTGCCAGGCAATGTGCCACTTTGGTTTACTTGATTTTCATAGATTCCCAGTGGCAAGGGTACTCCCACTGCCATTTTCTAGATAAGGAAACTGAATCCCAGAAAGGTTGAGTGACTTATCAAAAGTCACACAGCTGATAAAACAAAACAAAACAAAACAAAACAAAAATCACACAGCTGGTAAATGGCAAAGAGAACATTTCAAACTTGCTTTCTCTGACTCCAAGAGAGAACAGAAGACCTAGAAAAGGCTTAGAAAAGGTATAGAGGGACAAAAACAAGGAGGAACTAAGTGGAAGAAGAACGAATGTAAAGATGGAAAAGAAAGAGATAAGACAGACTCACGTTCTGAGACCCCCCTCGTCCTGAGGCTCACCGCCGATCCAGAGTCCGGTAACACTGGCGGATCCAGCTCAGAGGTGGAACTTGGGCTCTGCCTGTGGCTCCACTCAGATGAACAAGCAGATAATTTTCAGCTACCAGCAGCTCTAGAGTTCCCACCATATACCTGGGTGGGGGGGACAAAACGGTCAGGGAAGTGGGGGGTGTGGGGGGTGAGAGGGACATTACTGTAGACTCTACAATCAGCTACTGCTAAAGAGGGGGGTTCTTTTTTACTTCTCCCTCCCTAACATCCAACCTGGAGCCTCTCAGGCCTCCCATCTCACCTAAATAAGTGTTCCATGACATAGGTATAGTTGGGGATGCTGCTTCTGGGTAGATAACAGGAAGCAAAGAGGATGACAGCATTGAGGCCATCACCATGGTAACCTGGGAAGGACAATGGAAATTTTAGTCAACAAAGGTATACTGACAGACATGCTTAGGTTGAGGGTGTCTGGAAGTTACAGAAGGAGTGTGAGCTCAATAACTGAGTTTCCAGCTTAGGCATTTTATTCAGTGAGTCACAGTTCTTACACCTCCACTTATGCTAGCCATTACCTCCATGAGACAGGACTTTCTTATAGGGCTCAATGACCGTCATGTCCACTCGCAGCTCCCGCTGCCCTGTTCGGAACACCCTCCAGCGATGACCATTATCTCCAGCCACATCCCACGTACAACCCTGGCCCAGCCTTTCAGCTGCCTCACTGGCTCCTAGACCCTCTGCCTGGGGCAGCTCATCTAAAAGAGAGGGATGGGGAAGGATCAACAGAGCAGAATACACACTTTCAGTATCTCGTATCTTCCCCAGATTCCTAGAATCTATTACTCCAACCTCCCATTCCTCAATTTGTCCCCACAATCTTAGCCCTGGTTTGTTCAATACACCCAACCCCTTGCTGGTTTCTATTTCCTGCGACTCATTATCCTCACTTTCACTAGACAGTGGCCTTTATTTAACCTTGCACTATGGTAGGTTGATGGTCCTTGCAACTATCATTTTTTTTTTTCCAGATTCTTTCTTTCTATGATCGAGTGAGGTCATTTATTCCCATGTCTTCAGTTACCATCAATAAGGTGACGACTCCCAAATTTGCGTCTTTAACCTGGGCTTCTCTACCTAACTCCAGACCGATATTCCTAAATGCCCAGACTAGACATCTCTACTTTAGGTGTCTCTGTCATCTCCAAGCCACCAGATACAAAGTGCAACTCAAACTCATGCTCTTCCTCATCTCTCCCTTATTTCCTTTCTGGATGAATGGCCCCATCCATCCAGCTTCCTGAGAGAGAAAACTGTACGTCATCCAAGGCTCTTTCTTCTCTATCAGCCCTCAAGACAGCTGGACCCCAGATCCTCTTTCATCTACCTCCATTACACTCTTTCATCATTCTTTCCTCTTACTGTCTCAGTTCAGGTTCTTAGCAGTTGTCACCTGGCTTTAGCACGAGCCTCCTAACTGGTCTCCCCGCCTTTAGTTTGTTTCTCTCCATTCCACCCTCTACACCACAGCTAGAACAAACTTTCTGTTCTCCCCTACCTTTTTTACTCAAATGGCAATATGCTACACCCACTAACTCTGCATGGTGATAGAAAGAGCTACCTCAAAAAAAAGAAAGAAAGAAAAGAAAGCTTCCTCATCTTAAAAAATATTTGCCTAGCCCTGATTGGGGTGGCTCTGTGGATTGAGTGCCAACCTGCAAACCAAAGGGTTGCTGGTTCGATTCCCAGTCAGGGCACATGCCTGGCTTGCGGGCCAGGACCCCAGTAGGGGCGCACATTGATGTTTCTCTCCCTCTCTGTCTCCTTCCCTTACCCTCAATCTAAAAATAAATAAATAAATAGCTCTGGCTGGTGTGGCTCAGTAGATTGAGTGCAGACCTGCACACCACATGGTTACTGGTTCGGTTCCCAGTCAGGGCACATGCATGTGTTGCGGGCCAGGTCCATAGTGGGGGGGCGGGGGGCGGTGAGAGGCAACCACACACTGATGTTTTTCTCCCTCTCTTTCTCCTTACCTTCTCCTCTGTCTGGGAATAAATAGAATCTTTAAAAATATATTTGTCTAGAACTTAGTATTCCATTGTATGGATGCACCATAATAGTATTAATACCCTACTGAGAGACCCTTAGGTTGTTTTCAATCTTTTCAGAGCAATTAAATCTGGTCATTTCACTGTCTTCATTAAAAGCATTCAGTGACTCCCTATTGCCTAAGATAAAATCTAAACTCCTTAGCGTGGTAGCAAGGATCTCCATGATTTGACCTTGTCTACTTAACATAACACTCTTTCGTCATTCTTTCTTCACCTCCCAGCCCTTCATATCTGTGATACAATGATATAGTAATATATACATATTTTGTTTTGTCCCTAGCTCCTGATGCAAAAGGTGAAAAGAGTATCTTTTGCTATTCATAACAAGTCCCTTTCAAACAGAGAGGTTATGTTCATGAGTTGACTTTGGAAAGCTCCTCAGGATGAGTGGCTGGTTGCCAGGGGAACCATCCAGGTGGCTAGAGGGCTGGAACTCTAAGGGAGGGGAGAGAACCTAGAGGCTGTGGTAATTACTAAAGCCAGTGAGTTAATCAATCACGCCCACATAACAAAGCCTCCATAAAAACCCTGACAGAAGGGGTATGAAGAGCTTCTGGGCTGGTTAACACACGGAGGTGCTGGGAGAGTGGTGTGCCCGGACAGGGCATGGAGAGGGCTTCCCACATGCGTTGTCCCATGCATCTCTGCCTCCTGGCTGTTCCTGAGTCATATCCTCTTAATAAATTTGTAATTCAGTAAGTACATTGTTTTTCTGAATTCTAGTGAGCTATTCTAGCAAATTATCCAGCCTGAGAAGAGGGTAGTAGGTAGCCAGTTGATCTGAAGCACAGGTGACACACCTGGACATGAGACAGGTGTTCGATGTGGGGGGAGAGGTGGCAGTCTTGTGGGACTGAGCCCTTAACCTCTGGGGTCTGCACTAACTCCAGGTAGTTAGTGTCATAACTGAACTTAAGGACACCTAGTGGGTGTCTGGATAGTCTGAAAATTGGTCAATGTGGGGAAAATCCACACATTTGACATCGGAAGTGTGAATAGTTTTCCTTAGGATCTAGAGTCATACCCAACCCTTTGAGTCCCTCGACACGCCACAGCACTGCCCAAGTTGCTTCTCCAGCCAGGCTGCATCTCCAACTGCCTGGCAACCGCTCAGTCCCTTCCTCTGTGAAGGCTTCCCCAGCCTCGCCAGCAGAACCGACCTCTTCCTCTCTGCCTACTCGGTGCCCTGTGCACATGTAGATCATAGCTTCCATTGCATGTATTTGTATCTGTTCCTTACCAAACAGAGAATTTCCTGAGGGTGATAGGGATTATCTTATTCATCCTTACAACTCCAGTTCTAGCTCATTGATGGCATGCACCTGTCAGTCATTCAACAGCTTTCCTTAATTAACAAAGGACCTCACCCGTCCTCTACTGACTTCTTTCACATTGAATTCCTAGGTTCTGCCTTTCTATTCTGAAGAATTAATTTTGCTCACTCTGCCTCTCTGTCCCCACCTTATCAGTTCTAACTTCAGTCCCACTAAATCCATCCTGAGCTTTAACTTGGGCCTCTACTTCTTTCTGCTCATTCCTCATGCTTCCTTCCCACCTTCCCATTCAAATTCATGTCCACTGTCCAGCTGCTCAGAGCTTGAAGGTGTCTCTAATTCGTCTACTTCCAGGTCAGAGCTACCATCAGGAGAGGAAGGTGCTGAGTGGGTGGAAGAAGCTTCATTATCTCCAGGCCCCTTTGTCAAATTCAGTCGCAAATCTGTGGCAGAAAGACGCTTACGCATGGCGCGGTGGCCACATAGGGCTAAAGTGCTGGGGGTACCTGGGGTGGGGGGAGACGAGACAAAAAAGTGGACAGACATGTGTGTTGCTTAGAATTTCTGTGTACAGAGGTGATAATATGGGGTGAATTCTAAAAAAGAATTAACACGGGGGCATTTGAGAAAGGGGAAATAGCACTGCAAAAGGATGAGGATGGCATAAACCTCCACTGGGTTAGAATTAAGAACGTGAGGCCAGCCCTAGCCAGGTAGGCTCAGCTGGTTAGAGCATTGTCCCCAAACGCCAAGGTTGCGTGTTTGATCCCTGGTCCAGGCATATGCAAGAATCAACCAATGAATGGATGGAAAAGTGGACTAATAAACCAATGTTTCTCCCTCAGAATCACCCCCCCTGCCCTGCAAAAAAACCCTAAAAACAAAAAACCTTGAGGCCTAGGTTCTAATTTACCTACCTGCCTGTAAATCTCTTTTGGGATTGTCAGGATCTTCAGAAGAGTCAGCCTTCTCAGGAAGCAAACTGGAGGAAAAAAAGATGAAAAGGGGGAAGAAATATAGGCTAAAGGCATCAAGCCAGGTATCATCAACTCTTTCTTCCCACCACAATGTTATCACCTCTAGTTTTCTCCACCTCTTCACATTCTAACTTACATTCCGGTCCCCCGATCTGTGACCATCCCTTCCGTCTCCCAGCTTCCCTCTCATCCCCTCACCTAGGGAATTCTTCATCCTGCCACTCCTCCTTCAGCTCCAGTTCCTCAGGCCTCAGGGATGCTGCTAGTCCTGCTGCTTCTGCGTTCTCCATGACCCTAAGGTAGTCCCCCAACCCCCGGCAGAAAAGATTATCACGAGACAAACTAGGTAGTGTCTCGAGGGAACCAGATTGCAGGTAGGAGACACTGGAATGAAGAGCAGGAATTAAGGTGCAGAGAGCTGAGCAAGCCTTAATAAGAGCTCCTCTCCTAGACAGATGTTTCTACTATGCTAGCCGCTTGCTGGGAACAGATGACTCCTACTGCTGGGTTTAGGTTAGGGTTAGGGTTTGGGCAAAGGATAGAATGTAAAACTAATCATATTTACTCCTCTGGCAGTCGCTCCACCTACACAGTAGAGGTGATTAAGTAAAATCCACATTATAATTGGCTGGACGCCAACAGACCTGCTCATCTATCACTGGGCAAAGTTCAGGAAGATGGCACCTAGACGGGCCCGTCCTCCGCCGTGCTGGGGAGTGGTCAGGGGAAACCACGGTCTGGGTGGAGGGGTGGGGCAAGAAGGTAAAGAGGAAGATAGATTTGCTGAGGAGAACCTGGACCTAAACTTCTGGGTCTGCCTTCCTAATGGCCATTCTGGAGGGTGGGGGTTAGAAAACAGAGACCAGGCAGATTTATCCCAGTCAAAATATAGAAACTTCCTTAAAAAATAAAACAAAAACACTCACAATAGGGAATTACCCTGGACTCTGTCCTCAGTTCCATACCATACCAACATTTCCTACCTAAATAAAGCCACCTCATTCCTTCTCTGTAAATTAATTTTTACAGTTTTATTGCTTCTAGGAACCCGAGATAAGAACCAGTAAGAGCTGGGTGGTGGGGAAGTCCCAAGACTAGTCACTTTTTGTTTCTAATTGTCAGCCAAGATCTCACTTACCCAAGATCCAATGTCTTTCCTCCTGCCTCTTGCATAGTTCCCATCTTCAGAAACCTGTCCCCTTCCTTAAACTCCTGGAGAAGTCAGGAAGCTGATTACCCCAGCTCCTCAACACTCCGGAAACCTTTCTCTGCCTCAGCTGTTGTCGTCTTGCCTCTAAGAAGGAAGGTGTGGAAGGGAGGTAACCTCACCTTCAAACAGGTTTTGCCACCTCCTTTCCCAAAGAGCAGGTTTGCCCAAAAGAAGAACCATGCCTATGTGGGGGAGGGTTTTGGGGAGAGTACATTTTCTAAAATGGCTAGTCTTGGAGGGCTCTAGGAAGGCAATCTGCTCTTCTTTCCAGACTCCTCAGAATCTGGAAGCTGCTCTTAAAAAAAAAAAAAAAAAAAGGCAACGGTAAAAATCATTTTGGTTTAGGACTATCTTGGCCCTACTTTTTGAGAATAAGCAAAATCAGTGGCACAGAAGTGTGTTATAAAGATAGTTCTGGGAAAAGAAACAAATTAGAGAGGCTGAGGATGAGGGGAGATAAAAGACTGTTGCTCCTTATTCCCAAAAAGAGTCAACAGAAGGAAGATATAAAATGTACAATAGGGCCCTGGCTGGTGTGGCTCAGTGGACTGAGTGCTGGCCTGTGGAACCAAAGGGTCGCCAGTTGGATTCCCAGTCAGGGTTGCAGGCCAGGTCCCCAGGTCCCCAGTAGGGGATGCTTGAGCAGCAACCACACATTGGTGTTTCTCTCCCTCCCTTCCCCTCTCTAAAAATACATAAAATTTCTTTAAAAAAAAAGTTACATGGAAACACCATAAAAAAGTACAATAGGAAGAAGGGAGAAAATCTTGAGGAGGATGAAACAATTATCTGATGAAAAGGCCCGATTACAGTCATAAAAAGAGACAAGACCCCAACCAGGAAAAAATTATTTAATTCTTTAACAAAATGCAAAATAAAGTACCCAAGTTACAAAACATAAATTCCTTTGGTTCAGTAATCACACCACTATTTTTACCTTCCAATGGCTACACACATCATCCCCTCAACAGGAAGTCACACTGTCCCCCTCATACCAAAAACGTCATGCTAAAACCATCACATTCCCCACAATCCAGTGAAACTGTTGGCAACTTACATGAAATAGAGCTGCGGGATAGGAAAAGGGGGAACAGGTTGGTCTGAAGAAAAAGGGAGACTACACATGCAGAACAAGTCAGTGGGCGGGAGCTCTTTGCTGGGTCACTACGGTATGAATCATACCCCTGTACATGCTACATGAGGCTGAGTCCCTTGGTACAATCACACATAAATACAGACGATCCAGTGACCCTGACTACTGCCAAGGAGAACAGAACTTCTAGTCTAGATCCTTAGTTCTACTGATGGGGAAAATGAGACTTAGAGATGAAGAGCCTTGCCAAAGACACACAGTTCATGGCAGTCCGTATTAGAACTCCATGGTTCCTTTTACTATGAGCAAGAAGAGAGTGACATGGACACGGATTGACAGACCCGCTAAGGCAGGGGAAGAGCCGAGGCTCTCATTGCAGTTCTGCTGTCTTTTGGGAAAAGTGCCCATGAGGTCGTAAGGCCTTCCCGAGCATCTCTGGAATGCTCAGGGCTCTTGTGGGTTTCTTCAGGCTCCCTGTAGCTTTGGGACAAGGGATCCAAAGAAACCAAGATCCAGGCCACCTGAGCAGGGCAGAAGATAATGGCCTCTAATCTGCTCCCAAATAACCCTACGAGAGTCACAAACTCAGGAAAAAAAAAAAGTTAGCTATCTTGGAATCAGACACCATTGCCTAACTGGGGGTAGAAAGAGGAGTCATGATGCTGGAAATCTGCTAAAGGCTGAGAACTAAAACAGCAGTTTCCAACGCACACTCTATATGCTGTATAGCTTAGGTTGGGTATTCAATAAATACTTGAGTCAGTGAGAGAAGAAACGAACACATGGGACAGAGAATGTTTGTTTCCATGAGAGATACTGGTTCTGTTAAAGAGCCTTGCTGAGGGCACTTTTGGGGTACACATTCTTTTTTGTGCTGCTGCTGGAACAGTGTAGGAGTTACATTGTGCCCCTGGGGAGTCAGTGCAGATTCAAAGAATTAAATTAAATAACAGAATTGGATTGAAAGAGATTGGAGGTGGTGGGGGAGGTAGAAAGCCACCCCTAAAGTAGCTGCTTGCTTTTACTTCTTTCTCCTCCCAGATTTATAGGAACAGTACCGGTATGCCATATCCTGGAGCAATGAAGACAGAATTGCTGAAACCTCACCAAACATGCATTCGTGGTGGTTCAAGCAACCTCTCTCACTAACCCCTCCCTCCCAAAGGTCACTTCTTGGGCAGGGAGGCAGTGGAAGATTGTGACAGCGAGATCTGACTGCACTTCTCAAAGATGGCCTCGGCTGAGAGTTTAGGCAGCCCCTGATCCAGAGGGCACTCGTCCACCAGGCTGTTCATGGGCGTGGGAGGCAGTGGGGGCTCCTCCTCATCTTGACTCAGTCCAGGAATCAGCGAGGTACCTGCTCTGTCCAATTCCTTGTCCACCTGCTCCCTGGACACATCCATTGTCTCCGGCTGCCCTGAAGGGCTGGTCGTGGAGTCAAAATATGATGACAGGGCTTCCTGAAGGAGAGGCAGAAATTTCTTTCGAGACACCTGGGTGTTGCCTTGAATATAGGCTTGGAGGTTAGGGTCGGGGCTTGGGGTAAGGGTCAGCTTCAGGGACGGAGAGTGAGAGTGTTCCAGGAAGTCGCAGATCTAAAGGGGCGACAAGATGGGGAAACAGTACGTAAGGTGGAGGCTTCTCTTACGGAGGAGAAATCTTTTTTAAAATTTGTATTTATTAATTTTAGAGAGAAAAACGAAGAGGGAGAGAGACAGACAGAAACTCGGATTTGTTGTTCTACTTGTTTACGCATCGTTGGTTGATTCCAGTGGGTGCCATGGCCGAACGGCAACCCTGGCGCATGGGGACAACACCGGCCAACTGACTGGTCCAGCCACGGCGAGAAATATTTTTTAAATCACCCAGAGTTCAGCTTTACTGCTTGCAACAAAAGGCACATCAACTAATACACAGTCTTTTAGAAGCAGAAGAAACTTTTAAGATCATGTATTTCATTTTATTAATAAGCAAACCAAGTCCCCAAGAGACTAACCATCTCGAGCAAAATCATGTATTATAGGAAGTGGTAGAATGTGAACCAGAATCCAGGACCCCCCACTTCTAACCACCTAGTGTTGTTTCCTAGTGTTTTCCTGCGCTCAAAAACTTGAACTCTATCCTTACCTGCAAGGGGACAAGCATCTACACTGAGGTCGAGGGAAGGACAGAGGCAGAGAGAATGAGCAGATCGAAGTGGAGGTGGGAGGTAAGCCGTGCATGATGCCGAGTCTGGCCATTCACACGTATGACCTCGTTTAATCCTCACAGCTACCTTGTAAGGTTGGTATCACTATTACCCTCACTCACAGGCTGCAAAACTGAGGCTTAGACAGATCAGGTAACTTCCTAGAGTCATAGTTTGAATGAAGCAAAGCTGACCCTTGAAACTAGGTCTATCACCAAAGCTGGTGTTTTGAATCACTGTATTATACTATTCCTCACAGAAGAGGAAGAGAGGAAGTGGAAGGGCAGGCTGTGAAAAGAGGACTCCCACTGCCCAGCACAAGGCCGCCCAGGCTGTGGGAACATCATCCCAGCTCCACGACAGTGGCGGGGAGAAGGTGGGTGGGGAGAGGCACTTCTCACAGCCAAAGTGCCTTTTCCTTCACGACATGATTGGTAGGAGCCACCATTTACCGAGTGTTTACTTTTGTACCCAGCAATGTACTTCACATATGACTTTATGTTTAATGATCTCATCAACCTAATTAGTAGGTAATATTATACCACTTACAGGCTCAGAAGTCAACTGACTTGCTTTAGCCCAAAGAGAAAGTAAGTGGCAAATCTGAGATAGAAGAGCATGTCTCTCTGCCTTTAAAAACTGCAGCCTTTCCCCAATGCCAAACTATCTTCCACTGAATGAAGTTACATTTGCTGCCTAGAGAAGACAGAGGCAAGAGAGGTGTGGGAAAGGGCGGGCGTACCTTTTATGGGCTCAGCGGATTATCCGGCTGTATTCTGATCCAGCTTCACCAGTCCTCAAGTAGCCCCAGCAACCCAAAGAGGCCCTGGACTGCTTTAAGTCCACTTTTAAATTCTTCCCTGTGCTAATGAGTAACCAACAAAGGAAAAGAAAGGGGAGGAGGTGGAAAAGGTGGCCAAGCAGATGATCGGGGAAGAAAAACACCTGCTCCCGGATCACTTCTCTACAGAGTCAGCAGTACACAGGGTGATTACGCCCTACATGAGTAAGTGTGGAAAACATTTCTCTTTTGCTTTCCATTTTCCGGGCAAGAGGGTCAAGAGAAGCAATTGGTTTTCAAGGTTGAGGAGTTAATGATTAAACCAAGAATTGAGTTTTAACTGCAGATTCATTACATTTTCTTTCTTTTTTTTTTTTAAGATTTTATTTATTTTCAGAGAGAGGGGAAAGGAGAGAGGAAGAGAGGGAGAGAAACATCAGTGTGTGACTGCCTCCCGCACGCCCCCCACAGGGGACCTGGCCTGCAACCCAGGCATGTGCGCTGACTGGGACTCAAACCAGGGAGTCCTTGGTTCGCAGGTTGGCATTCAGTCCACTGAGCCCCTCCAGCGAGGGCCATTATGTTTCCCTTTAACTTGACTTCAGATTCTTTCCAAGTAGGAACTCCATTTCTCATTCGCTTTGGAATCCCCCTTGCCCAATGGCAGTATGATTAACGATAATCACATAGACAAGATAAAAAAAGCAGGGGAGGGAGATTCCGGAAATAGGTCAGGGGACTTCTGTGTAACTGTGAGAACCAAGGAGAGGGCAGCATGTACAGGCAGAGCTCTGTAAAGCCCTCAGCCTGAAGCGGAGACAGAGACTCACTGTCATTCGGAGCGCTGCATGGGGACAGTAAATAGCCAACTGCCGCACTGGCTCATTGTGAGTGTTGAAGAAGATAGTCATGGCGACCAGGACGTCATAGATGTGAGTCTGGCAGAAAGCACGGAGGTCTGCGATGAGGCCAGGCCTCTGCAGGAAGGCCTGGAAGAGAAGACACGGACAGAGGTGAGGGC